AACTAGTGCAAATGGACAGAATCCCACCACTGATTCTAACACTGAATAAGGAATTTTATCTCTAGAATCAGGGATAAATATGATCTTCTTTCTGCTGTTCCTAAGTAGACAATTTTCTTGCTTTAGGCCAGGCATGTCAAACTGCCGCCCCCCCGGGCCGGATGCATCATATTGAAACCTCGCCCACCCCATTGCTGGCCATGGGGAAAAAGTCACGATACGTCACAGGATGTCACATGACGTCGTGAGTTTGACATGCCTGCTTTAGGCTGTCTGTCTTAGCCGAGTGAATTAATGCATTTCTTCTTTGGGGAACTGCTTTACAGTTATTCCATGCCTCTATAAGAGTTTGTCTAAACGTTTAAGCATCCATCTCTCTGAGTAATTGTTTCTAATCACTTGAAAACCATTTCACAGCTCCAGTGCTTAAAAGAAATCTCTGTGTTCATCCTCTTCATAATTAAAAACATCATGCTGTGTATACTGAAGGAGTACTTAACCCTTCTAAATGTATATACATGTTTCCCAATTTATTTTGCCTTTTTTTTAACCAGGTGGCACAGAAGTGCTTCAATCAGAGGACTGAAACTAATTTTAAAAATTCGATTGTTAAATTATACTGCCTTTTCTGGACCTTGGTCAATATTTATTATCCGTAAAGGTATCAGTTCAGAGATCCTTGAGAACAACATATGGAAATGTGCCAAAAAATAGAAAATTAAAATTGTTCTCCATTCCATCCAGCTGATCCATCCACCTGATGGAAGTGGTTTGTTGCATTCAGCACACGTAGGATTACAAATAGTATTTGTAAACAGTGGGAGACGAGTAATGTGGAATAGTCCATCCTATAGATACAAATCAGAGCAAAACCAAAATTCTGGGAGACTACAATTACAATATTAACTTCTAATCAGAACTGAAGAAGATTCTTGGATGAGAAGCAAAACATTTTCAAAGGAAAAAAAAACAAGAAAGTCCAATTGTCTTTTGAAAAAACACATTTGGAACATATCCTAAATAACTGCAGTAGATTAATAAGTGAATGTAATGTAATGCTTAGAAAGATAATGTATGGGTATTTATTTTTTTTCTAAAGCTTCTTCCATAAAGGAATAAATGTATAAAAATTATTAATATTACATTTAGTGGAATATTGTAGGTTGCATCATTTCCTGGCTATACAGGGAAACTATGGCAGTTTCTTCATTTGTGCATTCTTTTCCATTGAATAGATACTCTGATTGCTCCTTGTTTCTGCTTACTCCTATTTTATTTATTTCTATTTCACATTTATGAACTATTAATACCAATTCATTGTTTTTAAGTCTCTCTCTCTCTCTCTCTCTTTCTCTCTCTCTCTCTCTGTGTGAGAGAGAGAGAGAGAGAAAGAGAGAGAGAGAGAAAGAGAGAGAGAGAGAGAAACCGAGTTTGTAGCTGCAGTGGATCTTATTTCATTTTTCTCTCTCCATTCTTGGTATATATTTTTTCATTTATATGAGAAAGATCCTAAGAAACAGGGCAAAGAAATGGTCAGATAAGAAGAGACATAGTCCACAACTGCCTAATGGGCAGAGAAAGAGTCTCAGAAGGGAACCTCCCTAACTTGTCAAGCTGTAAAAGAGATTTGTATTTTCAGATTTGCAAGATTCTGTTAATGCAGGGGTTCTCAACCTTGGCAACTTTAAGACTTTAAGTCCACAAGTCTTAAAGTTGCCAAGGTTGAGAACCCCTGTGTTAATGTAACCATACAATAAAGTAGTTCATCTGGCCATATTTCCTGTCTGGTTTACCTGAGAAGGTTAACATCACTCTGGCAAGTGTGCAGGTACAAATCTCTTGTTGTATCCTATACTCTAACCAAGAAGTTAGAAAAGATCTCTTCTGAGGCCATTATGCAGCTGTGGGCTATGTCCCCTCTTATCTGACCATTCCCTAGACCAGGAGTCTTCAGACTTGGCCCTTTTATGACTTGTGGACTTCAACTCCCAGAATTCCTCAGCCAGGCTGGCTGAGGAATTCTGGGAGTTGAAGTCCACAGTCATAAAAGGGCCAAGTTTGAAGACCCCTGCCCTAGGCAGTATCTCTGCTCCATTAATCAAGGTCTTTCTGATATACCATTACATCAGATTATTACAACAGTGTTTTATCCAAGTTCTACTAAATGTGTTGTAGTGGCACTAGAAAAATATTTATTCTGAGTAAATGTAGTTAGATAATATGAAGTCTGTTACTTGGTAGTTAATTATTTTATTTAGCAGTACTGAATTCATATCAGTTGTTCATCACTGCAGCAGATAATCAGATCAGTATGCGGAAAAGAATTAGGAATTTTGTGCAATGAATTTTGCAAGAGTATTCAAACTTCATATACAAGATGGTATGCTTTTGAGCAATATGTTCTCTTATAACAGTTTTCATGTGGTAGAGATTTCTTAAAATTGTAGTTGGCCCAATGTTAGGCTATTAATCTCCTCTCCCTCCAAAATTTCTAAAAATAACTGTGATTCCAGATTGAATAAATTGAAAGATTGGCAGCTTTGCAAATACAGAATGCTTTAATTCAGGACAGCTATTTTGAAAATAATAAGAATACAAATCTTCCAATTTTGATCTGAGGACTTTAACAATTTCTTGAGGCTGCAAGTTACTTTCTGAACTGAAATGCGTTTCTGTTTTACAGTACTATTTTTTAATATTCTGCACTTATTTTGAAAATGAAAAATTCAAATTATATTAAGTGCTGATTGCCAATATGCAAGTGCTTGAAAATACTGCCAAATTCAGTTGTAGGAATATATCTTTCTATTTAATAAAATCTAAAACTTTTTTTCTCTTATTGATTTGTAGAACCTATTAAGATAATATTCATTTTCTTGGAAACCAAAAACAATATTTTTTCTTTTATATCAGAAAGCTCTCCAACTGTGGTTAAAATCTACAATGTTATTATGGCCATTCAGTACTGGAGGGAATTTTCTTCTGAGCATGTGCAAAACAAGAATCCGATATTGTTTACTTAAAACAAAACAGGGTTTAACTGACCACATTTTAAGCAAAGTTACTTCAAGCTCCATTCCAGTTCTCTTTCCAGCGTGTAAGCATCTATATTATTCTCCATGATGCTCAATAATACAATGACCTTATCTGGGGCATCCTATCATATCAAATATACAGATTTAAACTGTGCAGAGTAGGATTTTATTTTGACATTGATAATGGAAAACATTAAGGAGATGAACAGGCAGCTTCACTTTGAGTTTTAGGACCTATCTTTCTGTTCGCTCAAGGATATTAACTCTGCATCTATTCAGGATGGATAAAAGAAATATTTACCCTCTTTAGATTTTGCCATTTACTCCCTAATTTTTTAGTATCATATTTTCACCATTTTACTGTACCTTAGCGTAGCTGTTGTTTTAAGCAGAAAGATGAGCTGTGTGTTTTATTTATGTTTTTACTTGTTAGATTTATTCCCCACCTTCCTTCTAGGATCTGACAGTGATGTACATAGCATTATTTTTCAGCTTTTATAGAACAGCATTTGGAGTAGCTTGCCCAAAGTCATTCATTAACCTTCCAGGGCTGTCAGTGAAAAAAAGAGGGCAATTTAAACAACTATGCACCTTTACAATGTGGAGAGGTTAGCCCCATCCCTGTTAACTTTCTGTAAGTCCCTCAAAACATGGTTGTGTGAAAAGGCCTGGGAATTCCAAGGGGAGGGTGAGTTGCCAAAGTGGTCCTGTTGTTAATATTTGTTGCTCTCTCCTTGCCTGTTAATCATAATGTTAATATTTTTAATTGATGTTTGTTTTTTTACATTGTTATTGTATACCACCCAGAGTCATGTTTTGTGAGATGGTGGCCCTACAGTATGATGAATGAATGAATAGCAATTAATTATATGTTCCCTGGGATTGTGTCCTGGGACTTGAGGATTTCACTACCAATTCCTGCAGTGACATTTGGATTTCTAAGCAGGGCAATTATAAATAACTTTGAAGCATAAACAATATATAACCATTTTTGTATGAAAGTTTTGATTTCACAGATTTTGTACATTCTTTATGAAATGCCAAATGCACAGCTAGCTGACACTTGGTACATCGATGAAAAATTGACAACAACATCCAAAGTATTTAATATTAAGCCACTTTGCATTCAGAAAAGTGATAGTAAGTGCCACAATCATGTCAATGGATATCATTGGAATTAATTCCTTTTTTTTTTAATAGTGGGAGGATTTTTTTCTATTCCATTTGTCTCCTTCCATGACCAAGCTTGAATGGGGTCTATATTTTCCCTTGCTACATGTAGAGGCATTCTTAATTTTCTCAGATTTCTACACTGCAGTCATTCAATATCCTTGCAAAATAAGACATTTGTAATATTTGTCCTTTGTAGCTCATTTCATTGATTTGTAGTGTTACAAAACTGTTTTTGCCCTATAAATTTAATTCATAGCATTGTAGATATGCTATTTTAGCAGACAGAGTTAATATTCCTGGTTGCCACTGTAGATCTTTCCCCATTAGCGGTTGGATCAGGATGGTCTTAAAATATTCATAATTTTATTCTTGGCACTATAAACATTTTCATGCTGATAGTTCTGGGTGTGCTACAGTCTAGACAGTAGTTTGCACAATCGGTAGTCAGTATATAAAAGTCTTATAAAAGGCTGATACAATTAATGTCAAGATCCTTGAAGACCTTTGAATTATGTGCTGCCTTTGTTTGGATTGTATTATTTTTATTATTTATTATTATTGCATTGCACTGCACAACACTGCATTGCATTGCATTACATTGTTTGTGAGGTTCTATTCTGGCTTTAACATTATGGTCCTCTGTGTGTTGTATGATTTTGCAGTCAGATAATAGACAAATATGCTCTAGACTTGCTTCCAGATTGATGTTCATCACTTTTGACCATTAACGTGTTTTTAATTGAGAGAATCGTCAATCTAAAATTCTTTTGTGCTGTATTTGTTTAAATCTAGGTACTGCTCTGCATAACATACACTCCAACATTTGTGTTGAACGGAAGTTCAGTACTTAAGATTGCTGAAGTGAGTATTCTCTGTCAATTGGAAATGAAACTGGAGCTGTTTAATAAAACAATGTGCTTCCCATTAGATTATGGGGTTTTTTTTCCATTCATGATGTTAGATTTATGTCAGTCATGTATCTCTAATGCACATAATTGTTTTGGGAGAAGTTGTTATTCTCTCCTCACTCTCTTGAACTCTTTCAGGCAAGCAGCTTCTATCAAAGTTTTTAAAAAACATACCAAAATGTGACTGCTATTAGTTTTCTGTTTTGTATATATTATTAGGAAATGAGACTTTAGTACTCAGCAATATAAGATAAAAGAAAGAGAGAGAAATGCAAATATGTGTCGACAGATATCTGGAACAGTGACTTATGTCTAAAATAGCTGGTATACAAATAGTCCTCGACTTACAACAGTTCATTTAGTGACTGTTCAAAGTTACAACGGCACTGAAAAAGTGCCTTATGACCATTTTTCACACTTACGACCATCACACGTACGACTTATGCAGCATCCCCATGATCATGTGATTTACATTCGGATGTTTGATAGCTGACTCACATTTACGACAGTTGCAGTATCCCGGGGTCATGTGATGACCTTTTGCAACCTTTTGACAAGCCAAGTCAATGGGGAAACCAGATTCACTTAACAACAGTGTTACTGACTTAAAAACTACAGTGACTCACTTAACAACTTTGACAAGAAAAATCATAAAATAGGGCAAAGCTCCCTTAACAAATGTCTCACTTAGCAACAGAAATTTTGGGCTCAGTTGTGGTCGTAAGTTGAGGACTAACTGCACATTATCTTCTAATCAGTATAACTGTATTGGTCCTACAGTATTGTCTCTTTTCCTTTTCCCCAAACAGGTTTGTATTGAAACTTATATTTCCAGTTATCACCAGCGGAGTATTAATACAGCTGTACGGGCAACCCTCAGCCAGATGTTGAGTGATTTGATTTTACAATTACGACAAAAGCAAGAAAATACAGTGAGTCAATGAGGCATCTGTAATGGTATTGGCCTTTGCTGCTTATGCTTCAGTTAGGGTTGGTGTAATGTTCACAAAACTGGATTTATAAATAGGTTTTTACAAACTATTAAAGCCTAGCAAAAAAAAAAAAAAAAGTCAAGGTAATTTTTAGCAGGCTCTGACATTTTCTTCTGGATCAGGTTTTGTCTGAGCCTAGAAAAATATGAACTTTTTCCTGCTTCAACTGCAAATTTCTACAAATTGTAAAGTAAGACATTTGTCTAGAGTAACATTGCTACTTGTGTTTTGTCTGTGTTATTGACAGTACCTGTCAACCCTGTAAACATTGGATGTTCCCACTCTGATAACTGATGAAAATTGCAGCCATTTTCTCTTTGCTTTTAACATGCTTTTTCTGGTATTTAGAAATAGGTGCATAAGGGGGTAGGTGGGTGGGATAAATGCTCCGAGCTCAGCTAGCCATAATAATAACACTGCTTTGTGGGAACCCAAGGACGAAGGGGGAGGGCTGAAGAGCTGGGGAGAAAGCCTGTGTTTTAGGCTAATTGGAGAATGTGATTTATGACAGCTTATTGGGGGGTGGGAATCACACGTTACTTTGTATCAGGGGGAAGAGAATTTAGTTTTTGGGTTCAACTATGTAGTGCTGATATTTTGTTTCCTGAATAAAATGTTCTTTAAGGAAGATTTTTTTTGCCTTGAAGTTCTTTTGATGGGTTTCATCTATCGGAACCATGACATTATCTCTATTCTCCTTTGATAGATGACTGAAAGCCAAGGAATTCTTCAAGATTTCAAGAATTCAGGTATCAGTTAATTAATTTTGAGAAAATGATTTGTTAACTTTCATATTTGTGCAAAATTATGGTGTTTTACTTTCATAAAAAAAGGACCAGAGATAGGCAACTTAATATAGGGATCTTGCTTAATAACCTCAATTGAGACTGTAATCTCAGTCATTGAGCAAAGCAGTTGTTAAGCAAGACTTCAGGTGACTGTTCATAACTGCTTTGCTCAATGATCACAATTCCCACACTCCTGATCGTGGTCATTAAGTGATTGCACAGCTCATTAAATGGATGGAGTCCCAGGTAAGGAGTATGAGGGTGAGGGAGATCCTGGGAGGTTCTACTCAAGAGCTGAAAATCCTCCCTGTTGAAATCCAAGCAGGATTTTCAGCACCTGAGGGAGAGACATCTGCACCAGACCTCCCTCACTTACCTGAGGCAATCAGTGCTCTTACCTTATTGCTCTGCCTCTCTTCTCAGGAGCTGAAAATCCCACCTGGAGTTCAATTCCATTTTATCTCTAGGGACTGATATCCTTTGGTAGGCTGAAAAGAGCTGCCTGCCAAAAGATATCAGTTCTCCTTGATAGATAGAACTCTTTTGACAGGATGCAGAAATAGAGTTTTAATCATCAAGATTTAAGCTCCATTTCAGCATCCTGTGGGAGGATGTCAGCTCCGCTTCACACACAGAAGGGAATAGAGATGCAGGATGCAGGAATAGAGTTCAGATGTTCAGGATCATGAGGTCCTTGACAACCGGTTGTAAGTAAGAACAGAATGCCAAGCATCTAGATTGTGATCATGTGACCGTGGGTAGGTGGCACAAAGAAGTGCTTTAGGAGCCATAAAACTTCCTTTCTGAAGCCACAAACAGTTGTTAAATGACCAGACTTAACTTCCTCTGGAACTGTTTCAATTCCCATCAGCTTCTTGGTCAGGGGCAAAGGACTGGGCACGCAAGCAGTCACAGCTCCTTTTACACAAGGGGCAAATGGACCTTCATACTCGAGTGCCTATTACTTGCATAGCCTGGTTTCGAAAGAGCCGCAGCCAATAGTGGGCTGCAGCCCAGGTGTTAGGGACCCCGCTCCAATATTTAGATCACATGTACTCCTATTTTATATCAGTTTTTTCAAACTAGTATCTTTTGCATGTTGTAGCTTAGACTACCATTTTCATTAGGGGAGATGGGAAGTATGAGGTAGCCAAGCTGATTGGGAATCATGAGTTGGATTCTAGCATAAGTACAGCATACAAGACTGCAGTGAATATGAATAGCTTCTAGCAGTTTTGCGTAGCTAATGAGTGAGCAATTAGAAGGTAGAAATTACTTCATGTGTACCAAGAAAATTTCAGTTCATAGGTTTTATCTTTTTTTCAAAAGTTTGGCAGAGATTGAAACAGGTTGAATGTATGTTGGTACAGTACATCTGAAATCCCAATAGATTTGTTATGGGTCAGCTCATAATTGTTTCCCAAAGTCTCTATATCATGACCACTACAAGTGATGTCCTCTACAGAAAAATTTGCAGAATTCACACTCAGTAGATTATGCATTCCAAATTGTCACATATTTGATTTGTGAGCTGGTAAGATTCTTGATAGAGTTTCTCTAAGGTGGAGTTTTTCTTGCAATATGATATCCCAGTCATCCACAACTTCAGTGTGATGGGTCCAGTTGCCAAGATTGGAGATATTACATGTGCCCAATTTTGATATAGCCTATATCTGAAGCTATTAATGCACGCCTTTTATTTACTTTGGAGATTCCACCACTGAGTCATTCTGTGATGATGTTGTCTCTGTCTTCATGGTCCTCTGTGAAAAACTTCAGACAGCCATCAGGTAAGTGAGTGTTTCTAAATATAAATGAAGTCAGGGAGGATATCTATCCTGTTCTTGGTTGGGTTTCCTATCTGTCCTATTGAATCAAGTTTAGATTTGTACTAGTTGATTAATTTTACAAGCATAACACTAGCCCAGTGGTAGGCAACCTTGGCTCCTTTATGACTCATGGACTTCAACTCCCAGAATTCCCGAGCCAGCCATGCTGAGAGGAAAGGGAGAGGTTTCCAAGCTGAGCCATGCTGGCTCAGGAATTCTAGGAGTTGAAGTCCATGAGTCATAAAAGAGCCAAGGTTGCCTACCCCTGCACTAGCCTGACGAAATTCAGAGCCATAGATATGTTCTGTATCCAGCATAATCTCTGTTCCTAAACTCCTACATTCCATGTTTTCCATCATCAGTAAAACTATGAAAAACAAGTTTTGAGTAAGTTTGAAATATGGGCATAATGCAGAACATATTACAAAAAAACAAATGCTGTAATTTTTCACTGTCAGATATTTACTCTGCCAGGTGCAGTCTTCCAGGCAGATCCTTGCACTATTAGTTTAGGTTTTGTTATTGTACTCCTCATTTGGGATGTTAATTTCTATTGTATTTTGAATATTTAAAAGAGTAGTCCACATTTTGGCATTGTTACCATAAAAACTGCTCTGTGTAAGCCGTTAGCAGTAAACCGATTTCCTTGCATGATAGAACACATTTTGGCAAATTAGTTCTTGATGTGTAGTACATGAGCTTCATTGTGGAAAATTAATTGAACATTGGATGGGACAACTACAGATTATGTAGTTGGAGGAACAGACAATTATTGTTCCCAGTAATTATTATTATAATTTATGTAATAGTATATAAATTTCTATAAGTTTAGGAACTGTAATTACTTGTGTACCTAAATAACTATAATTATTTGCAAGTGATATCTAACTACTATTTAATTGCATGCAATTTGTTAGAGAGGTTTATTGCATTGATGGGTATGTTTTTAATTATTTCAGTAAGGCTTTTGGAAGTGTGGTTTATTATTATCTATTATTTCTTTATTATATTAAATAATATCCCACTTTTCAGGATAAGAATACTAAAAAAAACATCTTATGATAAATATGAACAATTGTAAAGTCTCAGCAGTGAGAGTATCTGGTTGACCTTGTTTGAGAATACAAGATAAGCAGAACTGAAGGATCTCAAGGACTTACAAGGATTGTAAGCTAAACAAGGGCATGGGAAAAAAACATTTTGAATAAAGGGTGTCACAAAATCATTTCATATTTTAGCCTCAAAAACTACATTGATGACTGTATGGATTCACCAGGGCTCAAGCTAGATATATTTTACTTTAAATAAAAACTGAAAAATAAATATAAATAGAAGCCAATTCCTATGATCTATCCCACTGTTAATGGTAAAAGCTTTCTGGGAGTTGGATAGTCTAGGAGAGAAGACCAGATAATTTCTAGCATATTGGTGGAGATAACCATTGTAGTGGCCTCTCTCCATTAAACCATCATTGCTTCTCGTAGAAATCTGGTCTGGTTTGTTCTTAATACTAAAAGTCTCTGATTATTTCCCTGCTAGAATCCTATAACATCCTCTAGATTTAGAATCACTCCACCAGCATGTATAGAATAATTTGAGAAGAGGAGATTATCTGCCAGTAAACACAGACAAAATTTAAAATATCCTGGAGAACAGTAAGGAAAGAAAAAGCATTGAAATTCTAACTGGACTCCAAAGCACAAACAGAAACCACATATTTTTATGTTTCCTTTTCTAAGGTACCAACAAAGAACATGGAAGGGAATTGGGGGGGGAGGGTGTTTCCCTCTTTCTTTTCTCCCCACTTGAGAATGAGCAATCTTGAGCAGGCAGCAATGTCCGTGCCCCATATCTTAAATAGAAAGCCTAAATCTAGCCAGCTCTGCTTTCCTTCAGGGCTGTACATGTAGAAAAATTAATTATACTGTTCTCCTGTAGTGCTTCATTTTTTCTAATTGCTATCTCAGAGGAAATCTCTCTCTGTGTATCCTTATATATAATTCTCTTACTTTACTGATAATGTATCATTGGGGTAATACACCTTGGCATGCTGTTTGAAGAAGAAAACCATACATTTATCTGCTTCCCAAGTAGCTAGGTCAGAAATAAGCACAGAGAAATATGTCTTAAAATATTAACAACCCTTTAGGCATGCATTATTACCCCCTCTATATCTAAGCAAGGTATATATATCTGCAAGTTTGTGGTTTAGTTTTCTTTAAATTAATCCTCAAAACATAACGTGTTTGTGATCAGAGACATGTGGATGAAGCAAGTCATTAAGCGAAGAGAGATTTCCATGTCTCCATCAAAGGCATCTTTTTAAAAATAAACAAAACAAAAAAACGAGGCAGTGGAATTCACCAAGGCAGTAAGACAGAGGTTTTCTTCATTATTTTCTACTTGGTATAGTATCTAACTAGATCATTATTATTTCTATTCTCAGTTGCTGGGTAATTTGTGAATTTGCCAATTAGTGAAATTGTTGGGCAGAGAAGATTAATATGGTTCATAATTTGGTACTTGTGTATAGACCCCCTAATGACTTAGAAACAAAATACTTAAACAATTATCTCCTGGAATACTAAGTTGCCTGAATGGTGAGGCCCTGCTTGTGATCACATGGAGCAGTGATATAAAACTGAGACTTCCCAGTCACCGCATTTCATATAAAATTCATTAGGGAACTCTAATTAGCCTCACATTGCTGCATCTTAATGATAAATAAAATGTACATTGCAACTGGGACCATTTCGTTTTACTTGTATGTGTATACATATTTTTATTTGGGCAGATAAATTGGGTGTGCATATAGATAATAGTAATAATAGCAACCCGACAAAAATATCTTGGTCCTTAAGGAAGGAGTCGTACACAAAGGCAGTCTTCTGTACACAAAGATATAGAGATATATGACTGGGTGCCATGTTCATAATATTAAGATATTCAGCCAACATTCAGTAAATGGGCAGGATATATGCAATAATGCAAATGCCCTTCCAAAATATAAAGTGAATGATATATAAACTAATTGCCTATGATTAGAACGTGATTAGAACATGATTCACAGAAGTAACTTTCAGCACCCTCGCCTCATTTCTGCCTATACCAGTAGTCCTCAATTTACGACCACAATTGATCCCAAATTTAATGTAAGGATACATTAACAGGATCTTGCAGACATGGAAGTACAACTCTCCTACCATCTCCTTTACCCCTGAGAAATTAGGGAGGTCTCCACTTACCTCCCCCCCCACCCACTATCCAGCTGCAAGCTATGGTGTCTTTTATCTGACTATTCCCTAGACCAGGGGTCAGCAACCTTGACAACTTTAAGACTTGTGGACTTCAGCTCCCATAATTCCTCAGCCAGCTGGCTGAGGAATTATGGGAGCTGAAGTCCACAAGTCTTAAAGTTGTCAAGGTTGCTGACACCTGTCCTAGACAGTACCTCTGGGCTGGTTTCTGAAGGTCATTCTCAAATACCTTAACATCAGATCAGTTGTAGGAACATGCTCTTTTTAGTGCACCCAGATACTGAACTGCTAAGTTTGTGGATGTTTTCAGCCATGTTCCTTCTTTCATTTTCACAAGTAATGCACTAGGTGTAGTTTTGACCCCCATAATTGCATACAGCTGCCTTTTCTTGCCTTGCCCTTGGAGAGGACTTTCTCTTTTTTTCTGACTCACAGGAAAGTATGCAGTGCTTGCTTTTTCATTATCTCTATGCATCGTGCTTCCATTTTTCAGTGAGAATCAGCAGTTGCAGCTTCTCTACCTGGAATGCATTCTTTCTATGCTGAATAGCTTCTCTGCTAGCATGCATCACCATAAAGGATTTACTGACCTCATCTGGTAAGTAGATGTGCTTGGAATGATTAAAAAGAACAGAGTTTCAGACCTGTATCAATCTTCTTTGGTCTGTATATTTGAGCAGAGGTAATACTTATTTAGATTAAACGGGGGGGGGGGGAATGCTTAGGAAATTCAATCTATCTGAGTCTGAAATTGCTTCATGACCAAAAATCTCGGTCTTTTGTGCTGCCACATCAGAAGCCACATCTGTCTTTGAGAAGAACACCACCCAGTGGTGCACTGAAAATGCAACAGAGAAAACTGGGATCTTACCCTAAATGAATGACCCTGTGCCTTTCACAGTAGGGTGACTTAATGCAAACCTATTTCTCTAACCAAGGAGAGAAAAAGTTATTAGAGGGCATGCAAATTGAATGGACTGAGGGATTGCACTGGTAACTTTTTGGTTTTTTCTCAGTGAGTTCAACAAGGCATATATGGGCATCTCCATTTACCCTATAAACCTGTGAGGTATGTTAGGTTAAAAAAGAATAACCAGTCCAAAATCCCACAGTCAGTCTTTTGGTAAATTAAAGATTTGAACTGGGATTGGTACTTCTCCAATGCTTCAGTGCTACACCTTGTAGCTTTACAGCAGTGGTTCTCAACCTGTGGGTCGGGACCCCATTTGGGGTCGAACGACCATTTCACGGGGGTCGCCAAACAACGCAGTCCGCCATTTTTCCCCCTTTTCCTTAGCTGTGCTACTCCCTTTTATTCTATTGGCTTTTGAAAGCCAATAGAATAGACTCTCTTGAATAGAGTCTAATTCTATTGGCTTTCAAAAGCCAATAGGAATTGTCCAGGCTGTCTCTGCCCTGCTGAGCCCGCCAAAAGTCCCATTCTGCAAACGGTGCTGCACCAGTTGAGTAGTCCTCGACTTACGACCGGTTGAGTAGTCCTCTACTTACGACCGGTTGGGGGTCGCGGCATTAAAAAGGTTGAGAACCACCGCTTTACAGCATTCTGGAGTAGGCAAGGACATCAGACAATGCTCATGTAGCACCTATCTGCAACTCTTTAACGCAGCTATTTCTTTTCTGAGAATCATGTCTATCATCTATGGCTGGTAGCTTTCTGTAATGCTCATATGCTAAAAAAATTAAGACCATAAGGAGTTCAGGAAATTAATGAAAATTTGCATTAGAATATTGCTTTTAAACCAACAAACTGGGTATCATCTGGACAAAGTAAATATTACTGTGGCCTATAGAGAATGCCATTTCCATTCCCATGGAGCTATAGTATGAGTTGGAAGCATCTGAGAAGAAGCAGAGTAAATGGTAGAAATGTTATTCAAGGAGATCTCAAAATACCTCACGGATTGGACAAATATTTGAATATAAGTAGTTGAAAGATAAATGTGTCATTTTAGTTATCAGCCTGATCTCCTTTTGCTCACAGGAGTTTGAAAACTTCTGCTGGCCTGATTTCCCCTTGCTTGCTGGGTAGGAAGGCAGCTGGAGGCTTGCAAGGTCGAGATAGCTTGATCTCCATTGCTCACTGGTTGGAATGGAGGCTGAAGAACTATGGGAACCTTGAGGGGCAAGAAACAAAGCACAGGGTGCCTCGGGGTGGGTATAGCCTTGGGAGATCGGGGCAGGTGACCCTGGGCCTGTGTAGTCCCCCAAGGGCCTCCCCTGAGGTATCGGGTGCTCAATTTAACAAACATTTGCATTCATTTAATGTTTGCATCAAGAGGTGGAATCATTAAGCGAGGCCATTTTGCTTAACAGCTGTCGTGACATGCCACCATAATGGCAGGCTCCGTATCGTTTGCTCATATTCCATACCTAAAGTCTACGAGTATGAAATAGGGAGAAAAATCAGTCAAAAATAAATGCAAATTAAGGCACATGGATGAAGGAGGATGAAGGGTTGGTGGGTAAATACCAAAACCTTAATTCTGTTTATAAGTCACTCATTCTGTGTTTCAGTTATTTTCGATTGTTCGTTTTTTCTATAGAACCGTACTTTTTTTTCCAACATAAAAGAAAAAAAAACCCTATCTTAACTATCTCTTCAGACACTGAATCCTTCATTCCTTCTCCCACACTTTCTTTTTTTTTTAAATTTATTTTTCTCAGGAAGCAGCTGTGTCCAGCCCTGATAGTCATCTTGGGCAATCCGGTTCATGACAAAACTATCACATCTGCTCACAGCCATACTGGTCATGAAGTCGATTCTCCTTCTTCCGGAGTCTCTGACCACGGACGAGGCTCCGGCTGCTCTACAACTGCCCCTGCCCTTAGTAGTCCTGTTGCACGGACTATCTATTACATTGCAGCAGAGCTGGTTCGGTTAGTGGGCTCACTAGAGTCTATGAAGCCTGTTCTACAATCTCTCTACCATCGGATGCTTCTGTATCCCCCACCCCAACACAGAGTAGAAGCTATCAAGATCATGAAAGAGGTGAATTGACACTGCCTGGTTGATTTGTCTGCCTAATTGTCAACTTAAACTGCAGTTAAATTTCTTTATGAGTTGCAAAGTGTTTGTTTTCAATAATAAAATTTATGAAACAATACTGTGATCAAAAGAAACAATCGTAGCACAGTCCTTCATTAATTTCCTTGTCTGCTTGAATTTGGGAATAAACTTTGACAAGGTATTTCAGGATTAACTGGAAATTTTGAAAAAAAGAAAAGAAAAAAAAAACCCCTCCAGTTTATTTCGCCCATCTCACTAGGAAAGTGACTTTAAAATAATGTGTTAATCCGATGTTCTTTAAATTACCTTATATTTAGATACTTGGAAGCCCCCAGCGGCTTTGTGATTTAGCAGGTCCCTGCTCCACAGAACCAGAATCAAGAAAAAGATCCATTTCAAAAAGAAAGTACCACCTGGACCTCCTTAAACTGTATGTACCCCATTATTTTACATTGTTTAATAACTATGTTGCTTGATTGCTTGAAACAAATATTTTCTTCCCCTTTGACAGTATTTAATTCAATAGACTTTCCAGGATTCTAATTAGCACGGTCTTGTTCTTCAACTGAATGTGCAGATCTAAAAGTCTAAGAATCTGTTAAATAATTCTAAAATAAGCAAAATGTCTATGGAAATTCTCAGCCATCCAGGTCATGGTTGTCCCAAAGGTACTTTTTTTTTTTTTCAAAAGGCAACTGGACTTCCTTGTTTTTTCCTTGAAGTTGTTTCACTTCTCATCCAGGAAGCTTCTTCAGTTCAGAACTGAAGACCTTTGGGTCTAAAACAGGGGTTCTCAACCTTGGCAACTTTAAGACTTGTGGACTTCAACTCCCAGAATTCCTCAGCCAGCAAAGCTGGTCTAAAATATGCTGATATGCAGACATGCATCATAGATATTCTGAGACATCAGGGGAAAAAATCTTAATTACAACATCTGTAGGATTTTTTCCTTTGCAATACTGTTAATGACTGGAATACCATCAAAGGCAAGCCTTTGTTTTATCAGATGGATGCCTTTATTAATTAATCACATGGCTCTGATTAATCTAATGCTGACTCACTACCAAAGAGATGAAACCGTCTCTCCTTTTTAAAGTATAAATTCTTTACCTAATGTATAATTGATCTAGGAGGCATAAGAGTGAAGGGTGTCTTGTATTTCTTTCCATTGTAGAATCTTGGATGGTATGACTGAAGCCTGCGTAAAAGGTGGTATTGAAGCCTGTTATGCCTCGGTGTCCTGTGTCTGTGCCTTGCTTGGGACTCTGGATGAGCTAAGTCAAGGAAAGGGTCTTGATCAGGAGCAAGTCCATCTGCTTCTCCGACGGTTAGGCGAGTTAAAAGAGGGGGCCGAGACCAGCAGAGATTCCATGGAGATCAACGATGCTGATTTTAGGTGGCAAAGACGTATCCTATCATTGGAACATGCCCCCTGGGAGGCAGGCCACGAAAAGAGTCCTGACATTAGTATTAGTGTTACCACAGATACTGGTCAGACCACCCTTGAAGGAGATATGGGACAGACGACACCAGATGATCATTCTGAAATTCGTAAGAATTCTTTGCAATCCCCAGCTGGACCAGTAGGCAAAGAAATTCATTATAAAGAGCCAGAATCAGAAACAGTTGACCAGCCGGATGTAGTTCAACGGAGCCATAACGTTGTCTATCCAGATATAACTAATTTCCTTTCTGTTGATTGCAAGGCCCGTTCGTGTGGATCTAGATACAGCGAGAGTAATTTCAGTGTTGAAGACCAGGATCTTTCCAGAACTGAATTTGATTCATGTGACCAATATTCTATGGCAGCAGAAAAGGATTCTGGAAGATCAGATGTGTCAGATATAGGTTCAGATAACTGTTCTTTAGCTGATGAAGAACAGACGCCACGAGATTGTCCCGGTCACAAGTCTTTACGAACTGCTGCCCTTTCCTTGAAGCTACTTAGAAACCAGGAAGCGGATCAGCAGAGTGCCAGACTGTTTATTCAGGCTCTTGAAACTCTCCTTCCTCATCTTATAGCACTTTCTACAGTAGAAGAGGTGGATTTGGCTCTCCAGAAGTTTTCTTCAACTTTTTGTTCAGGTTTGTAAGCTGCTCATTTGGTTTCTCATTAATGGTCAATTCCTATATTAGAATCTCTCTCTCTCTCTCTCTCTCTCTCTCTCTCTCTCTCTCTCTCTCTCTCTCTCTCTCTCTCTCTCTCTCTCTCTCTCTCTATCTATCTTTTGCATGTCTATGTGTATGTGTATCACATTTTATTTTAACTAAAAGAATATCTGATCCTTGTGGACCTTTTAGGAAAGATCTATGAATGAGATATTATTCCAACATTTTTCTTGTCCTAAAAATCCATTGAATACTTGTTTGTTTGCATAAGCAAATCTAATTCCATATCATGCCATATCATATCTATAGGTAGTATGAGAAGTCATTTCAATTATTTATTTTGATTTTCTCTACCATCTTGGTATTTTCAGCACCTTCAAAATTGAACAGGGATTCCAGTGATGGCGGGGGGGGGGGTTTGGGAGGGGGTTGGGCATATCTGCTTGAAGGAAACAGAGCCATATCTAAAACTTACCCAGAAAACCATCACTAACCCAAACCCAGTCCAGCACAGTGTTCATTACTCCAGCTGTTTTACTTTTTTCTAGATGGTATCGACAGTGCTAAGTTATTTATATTTATTTGGTTGGTTCTTGTGCATAATTCCTGCCTCTCTGTATTTATTAGGTATGATGCATTCTCCAGGAATTGAAGGGAATGCCAGCTTTAACTTCCAAAACCTGATGAACGCAGATAGCCTCTATGCAATCTCTCACTACACACTCCTGCTCAACCTGAAGATGTCAAATGCAGAATACTATCGGAAGAAACCAGCTCAGTCCCCTGTATTACTGGTGAGGTCAAAGCCTGCCTTGACCCTTACAGTGGTGAACATGTTGCACTTGGCCACATCCTGTTCTATAAATCTACAGTTCAGTGATCAGGCCAAACCTTCCTTTGGCTCATAAGTGTGAACAGAATGTATCAGAGATCAGTTACTGAAAGACAGAACATAGCTGCGTGGATTTGAAGAAGAGGGATACACGGAATGCCACAGAGATTGAGATGTCAATTTCCTCCGTTTCTGTGATTTTAGGGTTTAGATTTTTAAACACCCTTTTGGATAGCATTAATCAGAAGATGAATCCCAAATTAAAAATGGATGCAAGATTTTCCTCCTGATTCAGAGGGAATTAGGAGCCCTGAATCTTTCAATAAAGCGAAAGGGACAAGCTTGCATCACTTCTTTGGTGTACATCAGCCATAATGCCCTGAGTTCAGGCAAACACTAAACTGCTAAGAAACCTAAAGGAAAGGAAGTAATTGTTCAGTGAGAGGAAATGAAAGAGGAGAGCACACAAATCTAAGATTTATAATGCTTACGTATAATTTGATATTGCCTCAAAGTGGCTTGAGAGGCTCTGAGGTTTTCCCCTTTGTAAACATAGCAATATTTTTTTATCTCCGTTGGATGCTGCAGCTGCATGTCACTATTACATTTGTGTGTGTAAAACTCCTTAAGAAGGAAACAATACATCTGGCTGTATCTTACTGACTAAATGCACTCTCTTTCATTCTGCAGAAGGAATTCATGAAACAGGTCCAATCCAGTGGAGTATTGATGGTATTTTCTCAGGCCTGGGTTGAAGAACTTTACCATCAAGTATTGGAGAGAAATCTTCTTGGGGAAGCTGGTTATTGGGGAAATCCCGAAGAGCATAGCCTTCCACTCATCACCATGCTGACAGGTTGGTTCCGTGACAGTGCTACCCTTTGGGTACTATATAAAAGCAAGAGTATGTGTGTGTCTGTGTGTGTGTGTGCTAACATAAAAAATAAATGCATTTATATCAGTGTTTAATATATTAGAAATAAATATTATGGGGATCCATCTGATATTGTATCCTTTTCCTAAAATAATTGATGGGTGAGCTATTAGGCTTAATCATTTCAAGCTGATGTTTATGACTTTACCAGTGCCACTGAGATGAAAGCAAGAAAGAAGAGCGATGCATTGCAGATAATTTATCCAGATGTTTTTCCTTGGCAGACATCGACGGCTTGGGAAGCAGTGCAATAGGCGGGCAACTGATGGCTTCGGCTTCCAAACAATCTCCTCTATCCCAGACTTGGAAACCAGACGATGCGTTGATGGCAGGTGAAAGGATGCGCACATATATGTGTGTCATATTTTAGGCCAGTGTTTCTCAACCTTGACAATTTTAAGACATGTAGACTTCAACTCCCAGAATTCCACAGCCAGCATTGCTGGCTGTGGAATTCTGGGAGTTGAAGTCCACATGCCTTAAAATTGTCAAGGTTGAGAAACACTGTTTTAGGCTAAAGATTTAGCTATTGATTGAAAGGGAAACGTTTCCTTCTATATCTGCCTGTGTGATACAGATCCCATATAAAATCTGGTTCCAGCTTTTACCTGTGACAATCAATTATAGTTTTTTTTTTTTTCATTTGGGGCATTTCATAGATGTCATCAAAGTTATGGTTCATTGACATGTACATTGTGGATAAAAACATCTGCTTGATTTTGGAATAATTCACAACCTTTGAAATAATTTCTCATTTTTCTTCTCTTTCTTTCTCAATCTTGGCCTCACCTTGTCCTTGTCCTATGAAAATCCCCTCTCTGCCCTTCTATTAGCTCCAAGGGGGAGGGGAATGATCCCATAAGCATCTGTGGAAGTTATTTTTCTGGGCAAATGTCAATATAATGGACAGATTTTTCCATCAGGGTCATGATGGGAGGAAATTACTGTCCCCCTCCCATACTTTGATATAACTTCTGATTAAATACTTAGCATAGTTAGAATAATTCCTAAGAAGGTCTTTCACTTTTCTCTGCTTCAGGCGTTGCTTTTGCACGACACCTTCTAATTGGTTGCTGGAAGAATTTGATTGATACCTTATCAACACCTCTGACTGGCCGCATGGCAGGGAGCTCCAAAGGATTAGCATTCATTCTTGGGGCTGAAGGCATCAAGGAGCAGAATCAAAAGGAGAAAGATGCCATCTGCATGAGTCTAGATGGACTAAGGAAAGCAGCTCGGCTCAGTTGTGCTTTAGGTATTCACTGGCATAGTTTTCATGTTTAGATAAACCTGTGCACTCTTTCAGTATCCAAAGAAGTTTCAATGTAGAAGAGCGTTACGCTATGTGACCTGTCCCTTTTGTGCTACCAGATGTTTAGCAATACATAGGTCATGATTCCGATCAATAAGACCAAATAAATCAGAACTCCGAGGCAAAAAAGTTCCTCAAAGAACATGTTTATTGGATACATAATATCGGCACGTTCAAAAGTGAAACCAGATCTAAACCTCCCCCCCAAGAATCAAAGTAATACAATGTAACAATTCCCACCCCTTTAGTCATGGTGCCCAATAGAACCCCTTGACGGGCTTTTCTAACTCAACGATCCTCCTCCGTCCCTCCGGCATGGGAACGACCTTGATTCCCACAAGAGTTGCTCATGTTTAGATTACCAGAAATACCTTCTTCCTTCCTCCCCTTCTGGTGGCAATCCAAAACAAAAAAAATGGCTGCAGCTAGCTTTGTTACAGAGTTGACAACATGGCTAACAGCTCCTGGAATGAACTATAATTCATCGGATGTTTTCCTCCTGATCATAGGTGTTGCCGCTAATTGTGCATCGGCCCTTGCTCAGATGGCAGCTGCCTCGTGTGTTCAAGAGGAGAAAGAAGAGAGAGATGCACAAGAGCCCAGTGATGCCATCGCTCAAGGTACGACTTCTCAGATGTTCAGAAGCTCCCAGTCAGATATTCACGATTTCTGTATTGCTCTTTTTTTTTTTAACCCTTCTTATTATGGGCAAGTATCTTCTGCAAAGATCAAGGATGCTTCCTTTAAGCAAAGAAAGAAAAGCTTTTACAGATTTAAAATGGGCAGAATCCCCCTGGATAAAACAAAACAAAAGAAATAGAAATTTTACACAGAGTCACTTTAGAAATAGATTTTATTATGGCACAGAATTGTCACAATAGGTGACAATGTGCAGTTGACTTTTCCAATCTTGAAAAAGCTTGGATCCCATTCATATTTAATGGCAGATAATCTCAAACTATTAAATTTGACTCGGCTGGAAAAAAAAGATTCCCAAAGTAGATGATGGCAAGCCACTTCTGTACATTATCAAGAAAATATGCATGTATCAAAGAAATAACCATAAGTGGAACAAGACTCCGCGGAGACCTTACATTATTCCCAATAAGGTTTGAATGGAGTTGAAACCAAGAATCTTGTAAATAAAGTAAGGGTTTATTTACTTAAAGAGTTTATTTATTTTAAATAAGAAACTATAGTTGGTGGCATATAGTGTGAATTTATTTCCTATCTGTTGTATTTTTAGGCCCATTTCACCTCTTTGGAATAGATACAAATATACAGAAGGGGAAATGGGTTTGAATCTCCTGAATCTGCCCAGCCTCTGAATCTAAGTTGCTTTTGGTCCACATATTTGCACACGTATATACTTGCTGGCAAGCAGAAAAATTGCCCATTTAACCTGCCTGCTTTCAATATTTTTTTACCTTTTCTGCTAAATATTTGAAGGTTGGGAACAGTGTCAGCGGGAATAATCTTCTTTTCCTCTCCATGCTTTAATGTAGGATAGGGCAATTTTTTTTATTTTTTTAGTTTTTGAACTGGGAACTTCACTTCTTTTTCTTCTGCCTGGGGGTTTGGGTGGCATAACAAATGATATTGTGATGACACTGGAATGGACAAAATAGTTTCCTTAAGCATTCCGGGATCTAATGGCACCCATTTTGACTCTTCACTTACAAAGGAGAGAAAAAAATGACTTGATGGGTGGGGGATACTTACATACTGTCCACATATTAAATGCCTCCAATCCACCACAGCAAAATTAAGAAATTGACATTTTAACCCCACCCACTCTGCGTCCTTTGGGGGCCCATATCAGGCCACTTCTGCTTTAATTTGCTGGAAAGATGTAAAAAAGGCCCAGGGGTATTTATATATTGTACTGAAACTCGATAGGCTTTTAAAAGACATTCTTTTCTGTCTCAATATATAATGATACAGTAAAACAGAAAGTGGAACAAAAACTGGAGCAGATGGGGAAGGCGCATGGTGTCTGCCTCCACACCGCTCATGTTTTATGCATGGATGCTGTTCTTGCTGTGGGATTGGAGATGGGAAGCCACAATCCAGACTGTTGGCCTCATGTATTCAGGTAAGGAAACTGGTTGAGCCAATTTAGACTGTAATGTGGTGCACTTGCAGACAGCTTTCTCCAAAATGAACTTGACACCTTGCAGATTGCTTAAGATATTACCAGCTGCTTTGGTGTAATTATTCCAACCCCCTTAAAAAACACAAAATATTATCCATCCCTTTATAAAAAAAATAGAGCTCAGTGGAAGGTTTTATAATAATTAATCAGGAATTCAATATTGTGCTTGCCTATTTTGCTCTACGCATTTCAGAATTTGCAGATTTTACTCTACATAATTGCAATTTCTGACTTCCCTTTCCTATAGCTGTTGCTCCCAGGAGCCCTGATTCTCATCTGACATAAAGGTTTTAAGAATTCTTCAGGTACTTTAGCCATCCCATGCCAATCCCCAGAGCTAAATCCCTTTGTCTAACTCCAATCCTTAAACTTCACTTACCAGACAGCCGCACATATCCAGACGACCACAAGATGGTAGCTACAATATACATAAACTCAATGATCTTTGCTGTCATCTGGTGCTCAACAAGTGAAACAGTGTTCCATTGTTTTAAGAAGTTTTGTTTTTGTTTTAAGTCAATCACTAAATGATTAAAAAAAAGGGACAGCAAAAAAGGGGGCAAATGCAGTATATGGAGTAACCAGGGCATTATATGTGCCAATTGGAGGAGGTTTTTCACATGGTGAATGATGTTGGATAGGACTAGAATTTCAGCTGAGAGACCATCAATCATGGGCCTCAGAATATTGCATTTTTAAAGCTGTATGTATCCCAGTAGTAATATTACTGGATGCAGTAATATTTAGGGCAGCATAGGTTCCTGCTAGCTCTGGAACAGGAGAGGAGGAGGGGTGAATGTGATTTGTGCTTATTACCTCAGAAGCCTTAATGCTATATCATTCACTAGCCTAGACCTGGGCATTTTACAGCCCTTTAGCTGTGTCTGCCTGAGCCATGGCAGTATCTCCAGCGGGGGGGGGGGGGGTCAGGGGCCAGGGCGGCAGCCGTTCACGTCAGTCCCAGTTTCTCATGTGACCCCTTGGGTAAATTAATTGACCACCCCTCCACTAGCAACTGCTCTCCTTTTTTTTTTTGCTAACATTGTGACAATCTGGGCAGAAACAATTGGCCTCTGAGCTAAAGGCAAGCCCTGTACAATGACCCCTTCCTCTTTTTTCGTGATATTCTCTCTCAAGTTATCTATGACCAACCTATTTTTTTTTTTTTTTTGTATCTCATCAGTTAGATCAGCTTAATTTTCAAAATCCCATGGGATTTCCAAAAGTGTTGACAATTCTTCAACATTCTGCTACATGACAGCTGAAATATTTGGGTAGAAACGGTTTTTTGACAAGGAAACATGAACTAAGAATGTGCATATTCCCATACAGGGAACGTAGTAAAATCAAAGAAAACAAGACAGGAGAAGAGTGGGGAAAATTTCTCAACTTTATTTGGCTTTTGCACTTTCCACTTATAAGTTTAATATGTGAACTGTGATTTGCCCTTGCTTCTATTTATATTGCTCTTACTTGCTTTGCCTTTCAAGAATTCAAAGTAAAAACCAATAGGCCTTAACTTTAAAGTTACACTTTAGGATTCATTGATATTTTTTAACCAGAGTAGGCTTCCTAATTATTATCTATCACACATTTTATACAGTATTTGATATTTGTCCATACAAAATTATCCAAAGATTGGTTCTTGAAAAATTATTAAGAGGTTCCCCCTTATTTGACATTTATTTCTATTTATCTAACTGGGTAGATGGGTAGATATTTCTCTCTTTCTCTACATGTAAAGCATTCTTAACGCAAATGAGTTTAAGTGTAAAAATTGATCAGCCTAGTTAAATTTGTTTTAGTTCTGTTGATTTAACCATCTGGCTAAAGCTGCTATGACTAGCTGAGTATTATTAATGGAGATGTACTGATTGTAGCTCAGGTTATCATTTTAATTTGCAATTAGCATATATACTTCTTGTGTTTACAGATTTACTCATTGCTGTTGAATCGGTCCCTACAGTGGCATCCCCATTTATAATTTGGTTGTTGGTATTCTTGAAATAATTGATATAACCAATGAGATTTGTGATGAGTAAACTAGCAGAACCATCCATGCCATGGTTCATTTTCCTATTTTTTATTTTCAGAGTATGGGAATACATCAGCACTCTGGAACATGTCCATTTCAGTGATGGCACTTCTCAGCCACCTGTAACTATCACCCAAGCCCAACAGGGGGCAGTGGCCCTTCAAGGTGAAGTTCAGGCTACAGACTCTCCCCAGGAACTGATTCTAGAGCAAGAGGCAGCCCTGAGGAACAATCCTGTCATCCAACCAGTATCCATTCAAGATCTTATCAAAGAAGGCAGTAAGGGAAGAGCTTTTGATTTTCGTGGAGGCAGCTTAATGACTGGGAGCAGTGCTGCCAAGGCTATTCTCACCCTCTCTAATCAAGCTGACAGGTATTAGCAACAATATATTGGTTGAAGTTTTGGATTTATTTAATATCCAACAGTGGGGGAATGCTGTCATTTTCACAACCTGGGTCAGTTTAATAAATGCCCAGAATTAGTGTGTGTGTGTGTGTGTGTGTGTGTGTGTGTGTGTGTGTGTAGCCACTTTTTTAAGATATGTATAAGGGAATGTTGAAATTTATGCTCATGTGAGATGGGTAGCCATATAAATATGACAGACAGATAGATAGAGCCACACAAATATGACAGACAGATGATAGACAGATAGATAGATAGATAGATAGATAGATAGATAGATAGATAGATAGATAGATAGATAGACAGACAGACAGACAGACAGACAGACAGACTGTCTCATTGTTCTTATTCAGTATCTTTCCATTGTGAAATTCCTATGTATGAACATAACGTAACAGATACATGAAAAGCAGGGGAGTCCATAACTTCTAGTCAACTACAGTAATCTACATATGCTTCCCCATCCACACCCACATTCCATTTTTGTAGCTCCAAGAGGCCAAGAAAATTGTTCTGTGAAATTCAGATGCAAACTGTCAAAAATAACAATGTAACATGTCATAAGAAACTATGAAGAGGAAGAGAAAGAGGTCTATAATTGCTTTCAAGTTAGATACATAAAGAAATAAATGGACACTTCATAACGCTCTCTTTAATTTGCATTGCCAGGAAGAAATGTTGCAGCCAGTTAACCTATCCTGCTTGCTTGATTATTTGTGGTTAAAAGTTGGCTTGCTTGAATCTAATTATGATAACATTGCAAACTTTTGAAAAAAGAAAGTGACAGGTTGAAGCTCTGCCTCCTGGCTGTGTAAGAAAAAAAAAATAGGGGAAACACACAATGAGCTCATTGTGGCTCATTCTCAGCATGTTGCATACTAATTTAATGTGATGTGCTTCGTGATTTTTATGGCAAAAAGTTGCCAGTTTTCTCAAGTGTCTTTTCTATATAATGTGTTTAAAGTACTTTCCAGAAATTATATTCTTTTGCTATATAATTTTTTATTGCCATACATTTCTACCATAAATCTACCATAAATCAGGATTTTCATATAGTTTTTTTTCCATATTTGAATGTACTATTTCTGTGTTTAATATATTCTCATTTTTTTCCCCTATGTTTTGTGGGTCATCGAACTGATCAAAAGTTGAGTTGCTGATTATGTTAGGATTCAGAAATACCCCATTCCTTGTTGATTGAACTGTCATTCTTTTGCATTTCTTACCGCTATGTCTGCATGCTAAACTCTTGCCCATAGAGGAGAGAAAAGGTGTAGTGACTCAGGTCTGTTTAGCTCAGTGGTTCTCAACCTTTTTTATTATTAAAAAGTTTTTATTTTCCATTTATTCATACAAAATACAATTAACCATTGGTACCGCCTGCTCATTCCCCCCAGGCTGCGTCCACCCTCTCTAAACCTTCCCTACTTCCCTCCTCGTTCTCTCCTCCCCTCCTACTCTCTTCCCCTCCCCTTCTCCTCTAACCATCCTACTTCCTCCCTACTCCTTCCTCCCCTCTCATCCCTCTCACACACATGAACGCAGCATAGGGGAAATGCCCAAGCATTTACCATGACTATATTATCATTACCCACTCACTCACCCACCCACTCACCCTCAACCCTCCCCCCTCGCTTCCCAGAGCAGAGTACAGGGTTAGTAATAAGAAGGTTAACAATAACAAAGAAAAGAAAAAAAGAAAGAAAAAAGAAAAAAAAACAAAAGAAAAAAAACATCATTCTCAACCTTTTTAATGCCGCGACCCCCAACCGGTCGTAAGTCGAGGACTACTCAACTAGTGCAGCACCGTTTGCAGAATGGGACTATTGGCGGGCTCAGCAGGGCAGAGACAGCTTGGACAATTCCTATTGGCTTTTGAAAGCCAATAGAATTAGACTCTATTCAAGAGAGTCTATTCTATTGGCTTTCAAAAGCCAATAGAATAAAAGGGAGTAGCACAGCTAAGGAAAGGGGGGAAAAAATGGCGGACTGCATTGTTTGGCGACCCCCGTGAAATGGTCGTTCGACCCCAAATGGGGTCCCGACCCACAGGTTGAGAACCACTGGTTTAGCTGCTTATATGAAAAGGTCTAGTGAAGATTTAGAAGGAATGATATCTTCTGCCTCTTTCCATGAAGGCTTTTTGAAGATGCTGTTGACAAACTGAATCTGATGGCTTTGGGAGGTTTCCTGTACCAGCTAAAAAAGGCCTCCCAGTCCCAACTCTTCCAGTCAGTTACAGACACACTCGATTACTCTTTGGCCATGCCAGGTATGCCTCTTAAACAGATATCATAAACTTCTTTTTGATTCTAATTATGGATGCAAAGCTGCTAACAATACATGTTCAGAGTGTTAATGCTGAAAGAGCTGAACAGGCGCTAGTTGTTGTGGGGATTCAGATTAAGCAGCTGGTCTTAGACTTCAAAGTTTTCATCAGTCTGGAACCCATATTTCTGAAGACTCAGCTGTCTTGATTATTAAGATCTTGCAAAAGAGGCTGCCTCTACTTGCTATGGCTTGGTTTTTATAGAGCAATGACTTCTGTATCACCTCCCAAGCACTGAGATGTTATTTCTTCAAAGCTGAGGTTAGTCCTCACATTTGATTTTGAAAAGAGTTAGGTCAATATCTCTTTAACCTGCCTTGTTAAAACTACTAGTAGGAGGTTTTACTGTAGATGTTCAACAAATGCATTATATTGCCATCCACCATTCATTCTTTCTAAATAAGCAATGTATTTCACTGTTAATATTGGTTTAATTAGCTTTTTACCCGAGTTTTGAAATTTCCTATAATCTTTTCTCAAAAAAGTTATCTTCAGTGACCCAAAGGTGCTTTTTCAAGAGGCTACTGGGCTTCCTTGTTTTTCTTTGAAAACGTTTCGCCTCTCATCCAAGAAGCTTCTTCAGCTCTAAATAAATGGTTGGAAAGGGAAGGATTTATATTCTTTGCAGACAGCTGGCCCTTTGCATTCTTTTAGAGAGTCGTTGAGGCCACTTGGAGGTTTGTCTGTGTCCTCAGGGTCATCTGAGTAGTTCAAATGGGTGTAGTTCAAATGGGTGTGGAACCCCGGCATCTAGTCAGAGCTGAAGAAGCTTCTTAAATGAGAAGAGAACCATCTTCAAAGAAAAACAAAAAAGTCCAGTTGCCCCTTGAAAAAGCATCTTTGGAACAGCCATGACTTGGATGATTGAGAATATCCATAGACATTTATCTTCACTGAATACAAGAAACGGTGCAGGAAATGGATACTTGTGAGCAGGATTTTTCAATGGTACCTTCCCCCAACCCTTGCTTCCATTCTATAGCATCCTAGAATGCTCTAATGAGGCACTGACTTTATTGTCTTTTTGACACCTGAAAATATTTGTTTGTTCCCTCAGGTATTTTAATCGGTCAGTCTGCTAATTTTAAACATATATGGTGCTTAGTAACTTTTTAATTATTTTGCCCACTGCTTTTATTTTTTAGTGTGATATACTTTAGTTACTTGATTACTGTGTTTTATTGTATATTTTAGTAGTTTTTAGAGTTGCATTTTTTGTATTTTATTGTACTGTTAAGTCACACTGGGGGGCAAACTTGATTTTGAAGGGATATTTTCAAGCGGTAAATATATAATGAATAACTGAACTAATAAAACAGGGAACAGGGAAGAAGTGGGATGTGTGTGCATTATTTTAATCTTTAATTCATATTACCAGATGTTCTACTCATTCTTAACTTGTAGGAGAAATAAAATCCACTCAAGAAAGAAGAAGTGCCCTTCACTTGTTCCGTCTAGGAGGAGCCATGCTCCGAATTGTGAGGAGTAGAAGCCGGCCTTTGCTCCATCTTATGCGCTGTTGGCACCTAGTGGCTCCTCACTTAGTGGAAGTGAGTGAAATTGGGGATAGGAAGAGGAAAGAGGGGGGAAAAATTGTAGAATTTATACTATTGCAATTGGCAGCCCAATATTTTTTTTTATTATTTAAAAGAATGAAAAACTGCCTCATTTCAGAGATTTTAAGATGGGAGTGCCCAACCTTGGCAACGTTTAAGACTTGTGGACTTCAACTTCCAGAATTTCCATGGCTGCCTGGAAGTTGAAGTCCACAAATCTTAAAGTTTCCAAGGCTGGACAACCCTATTCTAAGAAGTATATTAAATCAAAACACAATACTGTACAAGGAACAATAAACGTACATTAAAAAAAAGAAACATTAATGGAGCTATTTTTTCTTGATCTGTTTTATAACAGAGGCCTTCTGGAATAGCCCTATTTTAACTATTCTCTGTAAGGCCATAAGAGTGGGGCCATCTTGCTTTCACATTTAAGTTGTTCCAAAGGAAGGAAGGAAGCAGCCACTAAGAACATCTGTGCCCAAACTCTCTTCCATTTGGCTTCCTGATTAGAAGGAACTACCAGGTGTCTTGATTCACCCAGATCAGGTGGCTGTCTAAGATACTCACCTCCCAAAAGATACAAGTAAAAGATACAGCATCCTAAATTGCACTTGGGAACCAACCAGCACCCAATATAACACCTATTACAGCAGCATTATATGATTGTGATACCATGATTGTACAGTAAGCATATAAGCAAACATACTTTGCATTAGTTGAGGTTTCCAAATGACCTAGTCCCATGTAGAGCAAATTGTAGTATTCCAGATGTAGATTGCGGTAACTATCTTCAGAGCATCTAGTTAAGGGACATAAAAAGATCTGTGAAGGTAAAAGAAGTTATGCAAGAAAGATAATGCTCTAGGACAGGGATGTGGAACTATGATCCCTTTATGATCTGTGGACTTCAACTCCCAGAATTCCCAAGCCAGCCATAAAGGGGCCATAGTTCCACACCCCTGCTCTAGGGGATATTTCTCTAACTTGGTGCCTTCCAGATATATTGGCCTATAGTTTCTGCATCCACAAAATGGAAGAGGATGCAGAGGGAATGGGGAAGTTAGAAGTTGGAAGACAACAGGTCCTGACGAAACCATGTGAGATTATCTGTACTGCTGTCATTTTCCATATTCTTATATAATTGGCTTTTTGGTGTTTCTCTTAATGACTCTATTTTACTTGCCTATTTTTGTATATAATTATCAGTTCAGCTATAGTATCCCATATATTTGGTGCAATCACTTTTTCTAAACATAAATGCTTTTGTTCTCAAGTTGACCTTGATGTAAGGCAGTCAAATTATAAGTGGGGAATAAAAAAAAGCCAAAGCAAAAATAACCAAATCATTAAATGCTTTGGTTTATAGGCATGGCAGCCTTTCTCAAGCTTAGATTCCTATCAGAATGTCTGTGTTTTCCTCAGTTTTCTTGATCAAAATATTTTCTGCCTGTTACTAACAAAAATATTATACATTTTGCTTCAAATTCTCTCCCTGCAGGCTGCCTGCCATAAAGAAACGCATGTTTCTCGGAAGGCTGTTTCTTTTATCCATGACATCCTAACAGAGGTTCTGACAGTCTGGAATGAACCACCTCATTTTCACTTCAACGAGGCACTTTTCCGTCCCTTTGAGCGCATCATGCAGCTTGAACTTTGTGATGAGGACATTCAGGACCAGGCAAGCTAGATGTTTGGTTAAGTAAAGAGGGTCTGTCCCAGGTTTTTAAGTTTATTTTTTTTAAATCATTATATGCTTAGTGGATGCAGTTTTGCATTTGTTTATATAGGTAGTCATGGACTGTTTGAAGTTACCACAGGCGTCCCCAGAAGTAACAACCTGCTTTTGAAATTATGATGGCCACACACAAGCTGTGTGGTCACATGATCACATTTTGGACTCTTGGCAACCGGCTCACCTTTATGGCCATTTGCAGTGTCTTGCAATCGTGCAACCACAATTTGTAACAGTTTTGCTGGTTTCCAGCATTTACTTCCATTTGATTGGAGAAAATGAGTTGCATAATAATTAAGAGTTTGCTTAACAGGTTCAGCATTATGTTATAACATATTATCCTGAATAGCTGAAACAGAAAACACTGACCCATTGTGTCAGGGTAGAGATATCCCGACATAAAATTTTATTTCATTTTATTTATTAAACTTGTATCCCGCCCATTATCCTGGAGGTAATGTTGGTTTATATTACCACAGGACAGATATTTTCAGTGCTATGATTAGAAACATATAGCTGATAAAGAAGTTGGTAGTAGCAATCTATATCCCGGTTTCTTTGATGTACAAATATGAGATCCATGAAGATACGGTGCCATATTTAGAACATTCCAGAATGTTCTTTTGTTTTTCAGAAGCTCCGCAACTCATTTCTGATGTTCTTATTTCTCACACTTTTCCGTGTTGTTCTCTACACTACTGTAGTGTATGAATTCACATGGTAAATAACCTAACCCCAATTTCATTATATGTGCAAAAATTCACTGAAATTAGTGGACCTTGTCAGTCTGAACCACAGGTTATCTTTATTAGCAACTGCCACATATATGACCGTGGTGAGTTATGACAGTGATGAAAAATTAAGTTGTGATCTATCTTCTTATTTATAACCTTCACAGATCTGTAAAGGCAGAGTTGAAATCATAAGCACAGTCACAGTTTCACTTAGCAACTGCTTCACTTAATAACCAAGTTGGTGGTCCCAATTGTAGTCGCTAGACAAGGACTGTCTGTAGCTTGTTTGCTTGGTTCCAGTGAGTCTTTTCTGAGCCTAGCTTAGTCCAAATCCAGCTTAGCATTTTCTTTTGGCTGGTTATTTTCTTTGTAATGCTTTGGTGCTTCAATTATACCAGGTAGTCACCTCTATAGGAGAGCTGGTGGAAGTTTGCTCAACTCGAATTCAGTCAGGCTGGAGACCATTATTCAGTGCTTTAGAAACCGTACGCAGCAGCAGCAGCAAGTCAGAAGTTAAAGAGTATCTCGTTGGAGAATATTTGATGGGTGAGGTTTCTCTCATTCTCTCTTCCCCTTCCCCTCGCTTTATGAATTAATTTCTGAAAAGCAATCAGTTGCAAAATAGTCAACAATAATGACTAAACTGGTAAATTAAAGCCAATATAAAAGTTTGTTGCAAAATGTTAAAAATAATCAAGTATAGTTGTATTTCTATTTGGTAAATCAACCATTGATTTTTATATTTCAGGAAAAATCTAACGATTTAGGATAACATAGTACTGATTTAAGAAATGTCACTATTTATTACATTTGTGTTTGATTTTTGGAGCTGCACATGAAGCCATGTAAACAGTCCATATAATAACCGGATCTTTATAAACTTACTAAATGATGACAATCATTTCCACGTAATACTGTTTTACTCCCCATTACATCATAATTTCAGTATGAAATTGATCCGTGTTTATCTTAGTTCGTGCTGATCTCAAAATGTTAGGTACATACAGGGAATGCCATACCCAGGGCCTTTTTTGTCATAGAATGCCCAGAACGGAGTTCCGGCACCTTTTTTGAATGGAACCTTATAGGATAGGCAAGGCGGGTTGTATGACGTGTGTGAGTTCCGGCACCTTTTTTTTTTTTTTTTACAAAAAAAGCACAGGCTATACCTATTGCTCACTGCAGCTGATCAGCAAGAGGATGCAAGTCATCAGAGTAGTGAACTCTTACACTATCAGCACTGCATACCCACAGAACTATCCATCCAAAGTAGAGATTGAACCTCAGGGAGAATATCTTTTTAAAGAATGAGGCTAAGATTTCCCCAAATCCAGACTAAAATAACACAACCTATTAATTGATTACTTATTCTTTTTTAAAAGTTTGGGTGTGTTGACTCTGGGCTGGACTTAAATTTCTTCTTTTCTTCTGCCTAGCCACATTGCTGTTCCAGTAAGAATTAACTCCCTTTTTATGACCCCTTAATTCAGTTTAGACTCAGGGCAACAGGATGGATCTGAGCATTTACTGGCTGGATGCCCTTCCTGATGCCACACGGAGTTGCAGCAGATATATTTTTTTTGTGACTTAGGTGACAAACAGCTGCTGCTATCTAGGATTGAACTCTTAACCTTCTATGTGGGAGGCAAGCATCTTCACCACTAGGCCACCACGCCGCTCAAACATTACCCAAAATCAAAATTAAAAAAACTGCCCAAACTACCAGCAGCCTTTACAAACTGAACTGATTCAAAATGCGCTGTTCTTAGCAACCATTTTTTCCTCCTCCAGGCATTTAATAATTAACAGTTACCCAACTAGCAGTTAAAGTCCCGGTCAGATGCTTGATTGCGGCAGGATTGACATTTTCCTAGCTTCATCTCCTTCCACACTGAACAGTTCAGTCTGTAGAGGTCCATGATTATTTTGCAATTAATTGTGCAATTGCACAATGAGATAAAGATGTGTAATATTTTTATTTAATTGATTTATGGCTCATCTCCCTATTGTAGGGCTTTATCTTGTCTGCAAAAGGGACAGGTGAACCATAAGGCAGTAACCCGAAGGTTACGAAGACTCATACTTTCTAATGCTGATTATTAATTACTTGGATTTTTTTTCAGTCCAAATATATTATTAGTAGTAGTAGTATGCTTGAATGAGTACTCTTATGGGAAACTGCTTCATGGTGAATTAGACCATTAGCCCCTTTTTATCAGTAGTTATTAGCAAAGGTTCTACAAGGCTGGACTTGGAAATTTTTCATATAAAGGTTCCAATGATCAAATCTTCTAATACCACCCTAACTACTATTGTTACAATCAGAATCCAAAGTTCATGTTTTGTTCAGTATAGACACATATATGTTCATTGAATCTCTCTTGGTTTAATTTGACAATGAAAATATCACCCTGTGCTGGAATCCTAAGTACTCCTATCTTTGCATCAACCTCCTTGAGACTTACCTTTGATTTTTAATTTTAAAATGCAATGGATGTATTTCAAAATAAGCCCACAAAATTTCACATTATGTGCTATGAAGCCATTCAGTGTCTAGAAAACAGAACATTTTGTTATCATCTAATTATTTTCTTTGTCTCTTAGGAAAATGTCAGGCTCCAGTGTTTGATGTCTTCGAAGCTTTCCTAAATACCGACAACATCCAAGTCTTTGCAAATGCAGCCACCAGTTACATCATATGTCTTATGAAGTTTGTCAAAGGATTGGGTAAAACTTTTTTTTTAAGAAAAATCGGGCAAATTTTATGTCATATGAGGATTCGTGTTTGTTGAAACAGATGGCAAGCAGTGTGTACTGGAGGATAGCCAACACCAAGAACTACTTCTGAATGCAGTTAAAACTACAACAATTTGTGATTTTCTTTTAATGAATGAGGAAGTAGCAGTTCTGTGATTTATAGAAGAGGACCCATATGGAACTTTTATGATATTCTGCCGCCATCCACCCCCACCCCCATAACTTTCCAAGAATGCAGGAGAACATTTTTGAATTGTTTTCTGGAGGCTACTATGTTCCCATTTTATGCCTTCAATTAGCATTCATTAACAACTGTGGAAGCGTTTAATACAGCTTTCCTAGTGCTCTAAATTTGGTATTGGCCAGACTCTAAAACCCAGGAATGCAGACAATTGGTACACTTGCTCAGTGGTGGGATTCAAATATGTGAACAACCAGTTCTCTGTGTCCATTCTGGGCCTGGGCAACAAAAAATTAGCTGCCGGTTTTGCCAAAGTGGCACGAACCAGCTGAATCCCACCACTGCACTTGCTGAAGATTAACAAGACAAAGTCAGCATATTTTCTTTTAAAGCCTTTTATTACATAAAGAAAAATATAATAGAAGGGCACACTCAGGCATTTCATGATCGGCTGCAATCAAAATGGAATATGTTCTTACATATAACAACACCATGCAGGATTAGGAGATCTCAACTCCTCCCAGGCCGTTTTGTCTCCTAGCTTTTCTATTCTTTGCTTAGGCGGCAAACAAACAAACAAAAAACAAATTCTTCAGTAGTAGCAGATGGTTCAGTGGAATTGAGGCACAGGAAAACAATCCTTGGCATAAGATCAGCAGTTGAATCCTGAGGAAAAGCTAAGGATACATAGATTCCCTAGCATTGTATTTGATCCCTAAACCAAGCCAACAATTTCTGCGTATGCTCACACGCACTTTTTCTGTCTCTCCCTACCTGTTCATCCTTTGAAACCCTATTTTATTTTTGTGCCTGAGTAAACCTTTCTGGATTTGATTGACACCGTTCATAACAGCAGTAGTCTTTTAATCTATCATGTCTCACCCTTTTCTCTCTCTCCTCGCAGGGGAAGCAGACTGCAAGGATATTGGTGACTGTACATCGGGATACCCATCTACAGATTTGTGCCTTCCTGCTCTTGATTATCTCAGGAAGTGTTCCCAGGTGGGCAGAATGAAGCCATACAGCTTCAGTTGCCATTCCATCAAGGCGCTTAAATTAGTTCCTAATCAGAGGCCCTTACACGCAGTGAGCTTTTCATGTGCATTAAAGACCTGGCTTAGTGGTGAGGGCTGCATATTTCAAATCTCAAGCGATACATTCCAGACTGAAATAGCGTTAGGATTTGTGGCTTCCCCTGTTGTTTTTATTATAATGCCACATTGTTCACCCCTCAATGTGTAAAGTGGGAGAGGAGTTTAACACTTAAATTCTATTTGTCACATTTACTGTTAAATTTCCAAGTAACAGGTGAAAGCGCATGGTCAGAAAAGGGTCAGTGAAATTAAAATCACAATGAAGGTGAAAGAATATTGTTTCAAAGTTATGTAATGATCTACATTTCCATTCTCATATTTAGCCTCGTTCTCTTCTCTGCCACCTAATCATTACTCAATTAGTTTTGACCAGCTAGACCAGTGATGGCAAACCTTTTAGAGACTGAGTGCCCAAAAACCGCTCCGTCCCCACTCCGCCTCCCACCCTGCTGCTCTGCCCCCACCTGCCCCACCCGCCCAACCATGCCATGCCTCCATGGCCCACCACAGATCGCCCAGGCAACTCTGCAGTGCCATGCCAGCCACACTCTCCACCCTCACCCCCACAGCATCATCTCCTGCTGCCTGCCTATGTCCTAAGCTGCGCTGTTCTGTGTGGGCTGCGCTCAGAGGTGACTCTCCTCCAGGGGGGCTACTGGTGAGGAGGGGGCTGCGGGGGAAGGCAGGGCTCCGAGTGCCGCCTTTAGCACGCGTGCCATAGGTTTGCCACTACTGAGCTAGACTGTCAAAAAATAAACATTTTAGCAAAGTGTTTTTTAAATACATAGCTTAATGTCATGATATGCCAATGGAAATCCCAAACCAATCACATCATGTCCTTCCCTTTTTAGCTACTTGCCAAAATCTACAAAATGCCCTTGAAACCTATTTTTCTCAGTGGGAAATTTGCTAACTTACCCCAAAGGATCCAGGAACAATCTGCGAGCAGCGAGGATGGCGTTGAATGTGTCCTTTCTGAGTTTGACGATGACACAGGTAAGCAAATGTGGCTTATCTAAAGAAGAATGGACTTCTAAAACGTGGTTCCTTAGCTATGTCATATGAAGTTCAGCAAACAGATTCAAAACTATTCATTGAAAATATATATATATATAACACCCAAGGTTTCGAATAAGAACTTGACATCCTTTCCATTTGTCACGGAGATAATTTGCTAGAATGGAAAAGCTGCAACCGTAAAAGTTTTAAAAGTTTTTTTTTAAAGAAAAGAAGAGAGATGTAAGCTTAAATTTCTCTTTGATATTAATTGCCCAGACAACTTTTCCTTGGGAGCCTAAAATGTTAACACAGAGCTAAGGAGTCCGTGTCATCTTCTGCACGTGCTTATAATCAGGTATTGTAGGTGCTTTAGATTTCCTGTAGCCACGAGGAGTGAAATACAGCATATGTCCTTCAGGGCTCTGTCTAATTAGAATTCCCCTCATTTCCATCAGAAGCAGATTAAGCACATGCAGTATGCAAAGCAAATCTGCTTGCATACATTTCTTCCCTATTATATTGCAGCCTTTAATGTGAAAATGCAAACTGGAGTCTAGTCACTGTGGCAAAAGAGAGCATCTCCAAATCTGATTTCTAGTCTGTTTCCAAATCCAGACTCTGGTCTGTTCCAGATAGGGAAATGCAATACAGCTACTGTAAAAGGGCTGATAGGCTGTAAAGCCTGCAGTTGCTATAACCTCTGGTTTAGAAACTGCCCTCTAGAATGCTGTCTAAGGAATTTCCATTGGAAACTCATTGTCTATTTGATTATTTGCCAATTTCTCAGTTTTTCTCCATTCCTCATTTCTGCATGACTGCAAACCAACAGATCATTAATTTAAAGAGAACAAGCATTATTTCTGCAAGCATCATTATTTCACAAGATGCTATATTTGAATTTATGTACAACGTACATCATAATATAATGCCTTGATTCAGCAGAGAGCTGCACATATCTTTTTGGCTCTGTCCTCAGCTAGAGCCATTTCTAGACAATATCCTAGGTTTGCTTTTTGTATATACCCTATTTTACAAGGGATCTGGATTTTTATTCTATTTTTTTGTTCTATTTTTATTCTATTTATTCTATATTTATTCTAGCTCACCTTTCTACTTATACCGATAATCAGAGTGGCTTGCTGTCATCCCCCTTTTGTTACAGTCTTCTGTTTTCCTACCACTTGCATCATCTGGTTTTTTTCCCCTCACTGAAAATAAATATGTTAACAAAGGAAAGATAGTATGAAAAGGCAGCAGAGTTGTGCTAATTACTTTCTGAATGGAACTAGGCTAAGTGTATATCAGAAGTACAGCTATGCTGTGTGTAATTTTTCAAGCTGGTCAAACAATTTGTCCTTTTCTTTTTACAAAGTGGATGATCTTACTTTGGAGGAAGGTTCTAACCAGGTTGTGTTCCTCACTGATTAGTGAGTTTCTAATTTTCAAAAGGCTACCCCTTTGTGTTATATCAGAGTAGAAGAAAATAGGTTTGTGTGTATTGATTGTGGTGTATTGCATGAAAGCATTGGATGATTTGGCAGTTAAATGTGGGGAAAAGGATAAGAGAGAACCAATTCCAATAGCAGAAGCTCACATGGAGAATTTCTTTTCTGACAAGCTTGGCATCTGGCATTTGATTAGCCTCTGCTGGAAGCCAGGAAGACAGAATTGAGCAAGTCTTACATGCAGGCTGTAATAAAATAAAAACAGGCATAATTGAAATAAAGAAGTATGGATCTGGAAAAAATACAGGAAGTTTGTCGTATATTACCCGTATCCTTTGACGTAAGATTTTGTTTCCTTAGGCCTTATTAACGTCTGGATCATTCTGCTAGAAGAGCTAACAACTGCCATATCTAATTGTCCCCGACAACACCAGCCTCCTACTCTGGATTTGCTCTTTGAACTGCTAAGAGATGTTACCAAAACACCAGGTAATTAACCGAGTTTCAATACAAAAAAATTAAAAGCACTCCTTGTGAACTCTCAAGCTTCCTCCTTCCATTATATATTCAAGATGGACAATATTTAATATTTATTTAATAATATTTATTATTATTAATAAATAATAACAAATAATATTTATTTGTTATGTATATGTTGTATATAGTATGTTTAGGTGTGTGTCATGTATGTGTTTCACTTGAGAGCGGACAACTAAATTTCATTTTTGATGTGTGCCATTGTGCCCAGAGTAAAAAAAATGACAATAAAGGTTATCTTATCTTATTTTATCTTATCTTATCTTATCTTATCATCCTTATCTTATCATTTCCACCACAGGAGTCAAAATCTGCGAGTCATAGCATCTCAAAGGAAGCCTTGTCCCCAAAGCAGTGTGGCTTATATTATGACAATACACCTCCATTTTGTAGATTTTGACATACACATATGTACACTTCACTAATGCCACTGATTTCCACATCTGCTTCCAGAGAGGGTTTGATTCCAATCACTTTATCTCAGACCAATCTATTTCAAAGGCTTTTCGTGGAAAATATAATTGCAGAACATTTTCCTGAGAGCATGCTGTGTTAATTAAGTCTAAGTGCCGTGATACAAACGAAATGGAAAATCAGGAATTGAGAAGAAAAGCACACCCAAGGGCACCATTGTCTTGCCATTTCCATTTGTATTCTGTGTTTTATAATATTATTAAAATTAGTTCATGCTGGTATATTTATATTTTGCATGATATTTGATAATTTTAAATAGGAATGTAAAAGATTTTATGGATCAAATGATATTGTACTACTTTTGTTCCCCAAATTAAACCATTTTAAAGTTGAAGGGACAGGTTTAAAATAGAGGTAGGGAGTGCCCAAGTCACTTTGCAATCCCTTGAAATTTCTATGAGTATACTGCAAAAGTCACTGGCAAACAAGTAATGCCAATATGAGTGTGTGTGTGTGTGTGTGTGTGTGTGTGTGTGTGTGTGTGTATTTTGTCAATTGGCTTAATTCATTAAATTAAAAATGAGCAAACCTTTTAAAATAGGGGGAAAACAACTCCAAAATTCTGGTACTCTCCCTCCAAAGTTACCATTTTCTCACAGCTTGATGTCTTTCCTGGTCAATACAAGTTATTGAATTATAAGCAAGAGGGTGCAATGGCTGAGCCATTAAAGATGCTGAGCTTGTAAACTGGAAAGCTGACAGCCCATGTTTGAGACCTGATCGCTGTGCAACAAGTTGAGCTGGCATTACTTGCCCCAGCTCCTGCCCACCTAACAGTTTGAAAGCATGCAAATGCGAGTAGATAAATAGGTACCACTTTGGTGGGAAGGTAACAGTATTCCGTGCACCTCGGCATATAGTCATGCTGGCCACATGACCTCAAAATATCTTCATGCTGGCTCCTTCAACTAAGAAATGGATATGAGCACCATCCCCTAGAGTCAAATGCAACCAGACAGGAAAAACCTTTATCTTTAGTATAATTATAGGCAACTCATAAAGGAAATACAGATTCATAAATAAAGCTGTATAAAATCATTTGCAAGTCTAAGAGCATGCTGTGTTAATTAAGTCTAACTGCTGTGCTATAAACAAAACGGAAGATCAGGAATTGAGAAGACTGTATTTCCAGACTGTATTTCTTTAATGTGACTATATTCATAAAAAATACATGTTTACCTCAGAGAAATAATGTAGAAGTTGGCTGTCACATTAAACTTAGAGACATCATATGTGAATTTTATTTATTCACTACTTTAAAAAAATTATAAAGCATTTCCTTCCAGAGGTTCTAGATGATATACAAAAGTATGTCTGTCTTCCTGGTACAAAAAAGAAATGTAAAGAAGATGGCTAGTATTACTCAGCTAAGTATAGCTCCACCATCTCTTTCCTGTATGATTTTAACTTGCTGGTCCTCAATAGGCAAGCTGTGATTCTTGAGATGTTGTGGAACATAACTTTAGCAACTTTAGTATAACTTTAGCAGAAGAGTTGAGGTTGGCCCAATGGTTAGAATGCAGTATTACAGGCTATTTCTGCTGACTGGTGACTGCCAGCAGTTCAGAGTACGCATCTCACCTGCTGAAGGTTGACTCAACTTTCCATTCTTCCGAGGTCGGTAAAATGAGGACCTAGATTGTTGGAGGTAATGTGCTGACTCTGTAAACTGCTTAGAGATGGATGTCAAGCACTATGAAGTGGTAGATAAGTCTGGTATTGCTACCTTACCGTGGTCCACCTTGGCTGAGACTGTTGGGAACTAAGAGTTCAACAATAGCTGGAAGACCATAGTTTCTCTCTCTCTAGCCTAGTCAGTCAAAAATTCCTCTTCTCTGCTTTCTTGAGATATAGCACCAGAGTAAGAGCATGAGTTAACCTAAGCTTATATTTGAAAGGGGAGGAGATTCTTTATCCTGCTCTTTTTTATCTTTTAGGCCCAGGATTTGGTATTTATGCAGTTGTACACCTCCTGCTCCCTACAATGTCTCTTTGGCTTCATCGCAGCCACAGTGATCATTCTTACTGGGATGGGGCATCCGCTAATTTCAAACATGCCATTGGCCTTTCCTGCGAATTAGTGGTGGAGCACATTCAAAGTTTCATACATTCAGGTGAGCAAAGCACATCTCACTTGTTAACCTTGTGCCAAATAAATATGACTGTTGTAGATTCATGCAACGTAATCAAAAGCATGTGGATTAACCACTGAAATGAGAAAGAGGCCATGTTAAAGTAAAACTGGTTTAGTTTCTTCATGTATTTCATATTTATTACTGCTTTCTATTTCAGCAGACAGGGAGAAAATGGAATAATTCAGCTAAATTTCTTTGGTTTGTATTGACATTTCAAAAAATGGAAATCGAAAGATATTTGTTCAGAGTTTTCAAAAAATAATTGAAACCTACTTATTTATACACACAACACATGTATTTTATATGGCCATCCAGTTCACTGCAGACTCTGGTCTACTAATAATAATAAAACAAAAACAAGGGCAGTTCAAAACAGTTAAAACAATTACAATAAATCAATTACTATACTGTGTACCAGGGGTACCAAATAACTCTCTTTCAGTGACCTCTTTTAACTACCTGGCCATAGTGCTTGAGAGAAAATGCAGGTCTTTAATGTCTTATACAACAACAAGGTCAGAACCCTCTGGATCTCCAGAGGCATCTTGCTCTAGAGTGCAGGCACCATGATGGCAGAGAAGCACATCTCCTGGGTCCTGCAAGATAACACCATTTCATAGAAAGGAGCCTAGAGCATGTCCACATTATTGGATCTGGTGGGGCAAGCAGAAAAAATATGAGAGAATGGTGTCCCCAAAGTATCAAAATTATACACAGTCTCAACGTGATATCATCGGTCGCATAGTAGAACTTAGATTCCAGGCATGCAAGCATCCCTAGATGCTTCTAGTTAGGATACTGGGTGGGTTGTCTTTTTTAAATCAAGATTAAACAAAACATTCTGCCAAAATAGCACATTTTTTGCTCAAAAACAAAATTTGGGATGGTTCACAAATTGTTCTTATATATCATAATTTGGTTATAAATCAGTAGGAAAACTCTAATACATATGGCAGTACCTAGTCAAACTTGGTTAATCTCAAAAACTTAAGTACTTGAATTATAGCACTTGGTTAGGAGACCAGAATTGTTTTTATTTTTTATTTATTTATGTACTTATTTATACCTCATCTTTTTTGTTTCTACAAATGCAGCAATACAAGATAGTGAACATACCCAATACTGCTTCCTCCTCCTATTTTCCCTACAAAAACAGCCCTATGTGGTGGGTTGGGCTAAGAGAGAGTGCAACTGGCCCAAGGTCGCCCAGCTGGCTTTCATGGCTAAGGCAGGATTTGAACTCATGGTCCCCTGCTTTCTAGCCTGGTACCTCAACCACTAGACCAAACTGGCTATAATTACCAAGCTTTGGTAATGATTAGGAGGAAACAGAGCAGTTCCACATCTATTTTCAAAAAATAATATGGCAGTTCCCTAAGCTCACAAGAAGTAAAGGAAGGCTTTTTTTTTTCTTCTAGTAATACTTTTCTTCTTTTTTTAAGATGTTGGCTATGAAAATATGATCAACACAATGCTCAAAGATCTTTTCAAGTTACTTGTAGCTTGTGTGGCGGAAACCACAGAGACCATCTCTAGAGTCGGGTGCTCTTGTATCAGGTAGTACAGATATTCTTTTAACTGAGAGTGAAGTAAATCAATATTTGTGTTCTTCAAGTACCTAAAAATTCTCTTTGTTTCCTATCCAAACAGAATAGTAACACTAAATGAAAGGTCAAAAAAGAATGGAAGTTGTTGTATTGCTCTTCTTATTGTTGTTGTTTGCTTTCGTTTTGTGATATGTTTCCCCTGCATAACATCCTGATTGTACATAGTAAATTTATCACTGGCTAAATGATTATTATTTCTGTGAACCTCTCCTGGGTGACATAGACATGAAAATCAAATGCAAACAAAGACTCAGTACTTTGATAGCACATAAATTTCTTCACAATTCTCTAACCTAGCTGGCAGATCAATAAGGACTGTCATCTGATTGTCAAATGAATGAATGGAATCCAATAGTTGTCTTCTAATAACTGAATATTCAACAATTAGTAGGAGAAGGCCACTGCCTTTTGCCTGTGTACATCTTCTTGCAAATGCTCTGAAGAGTTGGGGAACTCCCCGAAGAGATTTTAAGGGTGTGAAGAGGGGAGAAGTTGCATTAGATAATACCAAATGATTATCTGTGTCTTCCACCATCTTGTTCCTTCTCTGCAGATATGTACTTGTGACAGCTGGTCCTGTTTTTACTGAAGAAATGTGGCGTCTGGCATGTTGTGCCTTAGAGGATGCTTTTTCAACTACTCTTGAACCAGTGAAGGTATAGCCTGTGTCAGTGATGGCGAACCTTTTAGAGACCAAGTGCCCAAAAACTGGCCCTGGCCCTGCTCCACACCCTGCCCCACCCCTGCTCCGCCCCTGCTCCGCCCCACCCTGCCTGCCTGCAGGGCCACTCATCACCTCCAGGGCCCGCCGCAGACCACCCAGTCAGCCCAGAAGCGCCATGGCGGCCACGCCCTCTGGCCACACCCTGCAGCATCAACTGTGCGCATTGGGGCGTGAGGGCAGAGTCTTGTCTACGCTGCCTGGCTGCCATGTCCTTGGCTGCATTGCTCCACGTGGGCCACACTCAGGGGCGACTCTCCTCCAGGGAGGCTGCTGGTGAGGAGGGGGTCGTGGGCGGAGGCAAGGCTGGGGTAACAGCATATGTGCCCACAGAGAGGGCTCTGAGTGCCGCCTCTTTCACCCGTGCGATAGATTCACCACCACTGGCCTATATACTATGATGGACCCTCTCCCAAAGCTACTTACGACCTGGTTTCAAAATTCCAACATCAAAAAACACCTTCCCCTACAGTCATGTGATCACATTTTAGGTTCTCAGCAACTGGCCAGCATTTACAGCTGATTACAGCACTCTGTGGTCACATTTACAATGGTTTTGCCAGAAACTGGCATTTTGTTATAGTTTCCAGTAAAACTGACCCATAGCAAACAATGGGTTCACTTAACAATTGCCTTAAAAAAGGTTATAAAATTGGGCCAATCTACATGTTGACCTGCCTTATGATGGTCATGATTATGACTATAATTGCCAGGATCAGTGATGGTGGTAAGTCAAAAACTACCTGTTACTTTCCTTTACAGTGGACTTTAGTGAACATTAGTTGCATGGCACAGCAAACCATGTTTAGTTTGTGAATCTTGGTTGCACCATCTTACAAAATGTACCAACCCAATATCTATGATGTGAGCCAAAATTAACTGTACTATCAGGTTTATATTGGAAAAATAGAAAGTACAACTAACAATAGTGTAATATGAGAAAACGCTATTCAGCTTTGTATGTTGCTTAAGATATAGTTTATTATACCAATAACATTTTGCCTCTCTGTAGAATCTGTTGGGCTATTTCCACAGTGGCTCTGAAAATCTAAGCAGTGATGCCTGTGAGGTGAAAATGGCAGCTCCTTCCCTCTCTCCTAGTGCCGAAGCTGAATACTGGAGAATAAGAGCGATGGCCCAACAAGTAAACAACTTTGTTCCATACTTAACTGGTCTGTGCACTGATGCATTCTTAAGATGGCTTAATACTTCCAATAAAATCAATGCTTAGGTTTGACTAGATTATTTGGGAATTCATTTGGAGCATTTTAATCATGCTCTTGAGTTTTTTTTTATGTTATCCGGTCTATAAAGATGGGGGTTTTATGTTGGTAACATAACTGACTTCAGTTATCTAATGTTAATTACCCTGATATATATATACACGATTTTATTTATCTGTTTATGTTTAAAGTTTGTGTATTGCCCTTCCAATTCAAGGGAATGATCCCTGGACGTTGATGCCCTCACTGAGCTGAATTAAGTTTAAGTAGGCAAGATCAAGAAACCTTATGAAAAATGTAATTCATTGAGTGTTGAGGGTGGAAATATCAGGTATTCGTCTGGGCAGATTTTGCCCATTGAACAACTCCATTTGCAATGTAGATTGAAAAGGATCTGCCTTGAGGCCCTTGATCCAACAGATTGTTTGGGGAATGTTCTGCACAAAGGTAGTTCCTCTAGTCTTGCTGAGGTCCTCTACCTGAGATGAATTAAGTAAATAGTCCAAGTGTCATGGTTCCGATAGATGAAACCAATTAAAAGAACTTCAAGGCAAAGATTTTTTCCTTAAAGAACATTTTATTCAGGAAACAAAGTATCGGCACTTACATAGTTGAACCCAAAACTAAAGTCCCCCCCATACAATGTAACAAGTTGCAATTCCCACCCCAGAAAGGCTGTCATTAAATCACATTCAACAATTAATCTAAAAGGGGGGCGCTCTCCTCCGCACTTCACAGCCCAGCCAAAACTTTATCTAGAATTGACCTTGAAGCTCACCCAGCTGCAACTGTTTAGACTAACTTAAAAAGCTCAAGTATTCCCCCCTTCTACATCTGAGAATCCCAAGCATCAGAAAAAGCACAAGTAAAGCAAAAGCTAAAATGGCTGCAATTTCTTAATTGTCACAACGTTGATACCAAGACTTAGATTGTCTCATTTTAATTCCAGATTGCTTGCTCTGGTGCTGAGTTGCCTCTAGTTCCTGAATAACAATAAGGCAACAGCACATTGATATGATTTTCCCCCCCATAGGTGTTCATGTTGGATACCCAGTGCTCCCCAAAGACACCCAATAACAAGGAAGGATTTGAGCATGCTCAGTCTTGTGTGCTTATTATTGAGCTGCCTCCTGATAAGAAGTCCAATGGCCATTCGCAAAAAAGGTAAGAAACAGATTTCTAAGATTAAACAACAAGCAAAATGAGGCAGAGGAAAGGCACTTTATACTCATATTAATATTTGGATAGTTTAGTGCAGGGGTCTTCAAACTTGGCCCTTTTATGACTTGTGGCCTTCAACTCCCAGAATTCCTCAGCCAGGCACGCTGGCTGAGGAATTCTGGGAGTTGAAGTCCACAAGTCATAAAAGGGCCAAGTTTGAAGACCCCTGGTTAAGTGTCTTACAGTGGAAAATAAAAAGTAGTTGGAATGTGTAATTCAGTAGATCAGATGTTTCCAAACTCTGCTTTACAATGGCTCCCTTTAAATAATAAATAAATATCGGTAAAGAGAATGAATAGGGATGAAAAAGAAATATAAATGTTTTGTCTTTAAATTTTACTCTGTACACCCTGTGATGTTCAAGCTTTGCAATAGAATAAGGAACATAGACTGCAGCATATGTTGATAGTGCAAGATTTAAAAACTGGTGACTCTCTTTCCAAGTTGCTTATGACCCCTCTCCCCCTCCCCAAGCAGTGCTGACTTGCAGTTTGAAAAGTCCAGCATTACATACGGTCTTGCCTCAGAATAAGAGTGTGGCAGTGAACTTCATAAAATATCCTTGGCACCATTAGTGCATGCTTAAGATGCAAACCCTCACAGCGAACCACAGATTTGCACCTCTAACACTGAGTTAGCCAAAGTATGTGAGAGGGAAGGGGAATATATGTACAGTATGATGAAAAACTTTTTTTTTTAGAAGATATTGCAGAAAGCCGACAGCCCTTAAACCCAGATTTCTGGATTAATTGTGAGCATTTGTACAAACTATGAATTCATTGTAGGAATATAATAAATAACATTCATGCTGTCCCATTTCTCAACCTATTCTGATTGGGAGCTCATTCTGTAATTTTTTATTTTTTTTTTTAGCGGGGATACAATTGTCCCTCTTTACAAGACTTGTTACAGAAGTGGGTTTGCTTGCTTGCTTATTTTATCTTCTCTTGCATGTCAGTCCAGAAGTGTATTGCAGTTTTGTTTTCACTTAGTCGAGTTTCTCTTTTTTTCTGTCTGAATTTCTTTATAATGCTGCAACCAATACACAGGAAACTTGGGTAAGACAGAGTTTCTTTCCTTCAATGCAGTTTTAAGCCAACATGCAGATCATGTATTTTCTTAAATGGCATTTGAGATACAGATATTTATCCAGAAAAAATATCCCCTTAGCTATTTAAGAAATTGAAATAACTATTTAAAACTAACTGCTATTCTCTAACTATCTAGTTTAAAAGGGAGAAGCTTTCCTACCTTTTTAAGACTAAATCAGCAAGGAAGAAGGCCAGTACAGTTGTAATTTCAGCTCTTGATTAAATTACAACCTCTGTCAGATGCATTTATAAAATGCATTTTTAAAATGGAAACCCTTGAAAGTTCCTGTGTATATTCCACCCTTCCCTTTTTCCACACTGCGGTGTGCAAATATGCCACAGTGAGATATTTGCTATTTTGCCAGTAGTGAATGTGTTACCAAGGACGACGACTTCCCGCCATACACAATTTCTGGCACACTGTGATGTCTCACTGTAAAACATGCACATATGTCACAAGAGAAAACACCCCCACCACTGTTACCTCCAAACTGAACTATCATCATTTGGGGCATCATTTTGGCTATTCTTTTACCTCAGAAAGCCACAATTTTCTTTGGTGCTAGAAAACTAATGCCAGTAGGCCACCACCAGAGAGTATTAAAACACAATGAAAGCACTATAAATACAACAGCGATTAACAAAGCCCACACATTGCAAGAACAAGTTGCAGATGATAAGCAGCATTAGTTAACGATAATGCTTACAACAAAAAATTATAACGATTATGAGGTGGTTATTACCTTATCACCTGAGGTTTCTTGAAGAAAGAGACTAATATAATTGAGCAATTCAAGAAACATTAATGAGGTTCTAAATTCTCTTTCTTTCTCTTCCTGCTACCCAAAGTATCCCTTTCAGAACAATTGTAGTGAGCCTGCTTTCCCACCAAGTGCTGCTGCAGAATTTGTACGATATTTTATTGGAAGAATTTGTGAAAGGCCCATCACAAGCTGAAGAAAAGGTAATACACCAGTTGCCAGAAACCAAACTCACTGGTTTCCTCAGGTACATCTCTATGCAGAACTTGGCGGTCATCTTTGATTTACTACTGGACTCCTACCGAACAGCCAGAGAGTTTGATACAAGGACTGGGCTGAAATGCTTGCTCAAAAAGGTATCCGGCATTGGTGGGGCTGCCAACCTATACCGCCAGTCAGCCATGAGCTTCAATATCTACTTCCATGCCCTGATCTGTGCTATTGTGACCAATCAGGAAAATATCACTGCAGAGCAGGTGAAGAAAATCCTTTATGAAGATGATGAAAGGAGCACTGATTCATCCCAACAATGCTCTTCAGAAGATGAAGACATTTTTGAGGAGACTGCTCAAGTCAGCCCACCAAGAGGGAAAGAGAAGAGGCAATGGAGGGCCAGGTTGCCATCTTTCAGTGTTCAACCTGTGAGCAATGCAGACTGGGCTTGGCTAATCAAAAGGCTTCACAAACTCTGCATGGAGTTATGTAACAACTACATTCAGATGCATTTGGATTTGGAAAATAGTGCTGATGAGCTCCCTGTCTTTAGAGGAGACCCTTTCTTCATCCTTCCATCCTTTCAATCAGAAACATCCACACCATCTACAGGAGGCCTTTCCGGAAAAAACACCCCTTCCGAAGATGATAGAAGCCAGATTAGGGACTCACTCACCGAAAACTTCACTCCTAAGGGAAGTACGGATATTCTGCTTCTTCCACCTTTGAGCCCAAAAATGGAGAAGAAAGAGCAAGGCAGGAAAAAAGAATGGTGGGAGAGTGCTAGCAACAAAATTTACACCATAGCAACAGATAAAACCATATCAAAACTAATGACGGAATATAAAAAAAGAAAACAACAGCAGCATAACTTGGCTAATTTCTCCAAGGAGATGAAAGCTGACAAGAAAGGGGATCCACTTGGTACAAGAGGGCCAGATTCACCTCTCCCCCAAAGGCCACAAAATCTGATTGATCAAGGCCAGATGAGGCATTCCTTTAGTGCAGGACCAGAGATTCTTAGGCAAGAAAAGAGGCCACGCTCCGGGTCGACTGCCAGCTCACTCAGTATATCAGTCCGGGATGGGGAGGCACAAATACAGGTAAGAAAAGAGGAGAAAAGAGGAAATAAAGTGGAAGAACTTTAACTTTGGGACACCTGCTTTTGCCTTTCATATTGGGGCACTTGGTTTCTTAATTGGTTTTTAAATACAAACCTACGATTATATAAAATAAATTAGTTTTTAAACAGAAGCCTACTATTGTATAAAATATGAGATGCCTGTGTCTACACAATGAGTCTTAAGCATATAGCATTTTTAGCAAAATGCTCTGATATACAAGATACCTACCTATAAAGTGTATACATACAGCTTCTTGGCAAAAGTGCCTTAGTCTAACTTACTTTCACATGAACACTCTGAAAATCATCTAAGTTTCTTCTGTAGTTCAGAATTTTCTGAGATTAATTCAGATGTCAACAAGATCCTTGTGAACCTCCCAGAATAAGTTAATATCCTATATTTTTTATTCAGTTTAGTTTAATTCATTCAAAGTAGTCACCAGCTGACTCCAAAACAACTCTGGGTGGTGTACAATAAAACCAACAGAATAAAAATTGAACTTAAGCAATATGAAAAAATGAAGGAAAGAAACAAGAACTAACAGCAGATCCAGCTATCCACACCTATGCACAATTTGACAGGGCCTGAACCACCCTAAACCATGGCCTGGGAGAATAGCCAGATATTTAAGGATTTCCAGAATGCCATCAGGTTGGGAGTCATACAGATTTTGAGGAAGGATCTCGTTTCAGAGAGCAGGTATCACAACAGAAGGCATGGTTTCAGATCCCAATAGATCAGTGGTTCTCAACCTTTCTAATGCCACGACCCCATAATACAGTTCCCCATGTTGTGGTGACCCCCAATCACTTATACATCACCGGGTGCCAGGGGCCTGGCCAAAGAAAAGGGGGGGAAAATGGCGGACAGCCTTGTTTGGCGACCCCTGTGAAATGGTCATTCGACCCCAAATGGGGTCCCGACCCACAGGTTGAGAACCACTGCAATAGATGGTGTTTAATTGAAGAGACCCAGAGCATACCAGCCATGCTGGATCAAACAGGTTGGGATGATGCCACAGGATATAGGTGTTTCCTCAAGTAAGTAGAGTTTTATGGGTCATAACCATCACCTTGCATTGTATTGAGAAGCATTCCAGTAATCAGTGCAGCTCAAGAAGCAGAGGAGACACAGATGCGGCACACCCATCACTGTTTGTGCTGCTGCAATCTAGACCAGTTGAATCTTCAAGATCAACTCCATGTAGAGCACATTGCAATAGTTGTTTCCTTTTAGTTTTTCATTTCTGGCATGTTTGTCATATTAACATTTTTATGCATCTTGGCCTGGATCAACTAGATATGGTACCAGAACATAGAAAATGGTCGCTAAGTGTCCCTCATCTAAAGAGATTATTCTCCTTTCTTGGGAATTTTACACTAATAGCCCTATTACTCAACCCTGGTAAAATGTTTTTCATACCAAACTGCCTTATGTTCTCACTTAACATTAATACTGCATTTTTTTCTAAAGGTGTCCTTCCTATTTTCCGTACTGATCTATGCTCTTCCATTTGTTTTTTTTTTTTTTTGCATTGTCCTAATTTATAGATTTATTTGTTCCCTTTCTCTCTCTCTCTCTTTGCATTGTTTTAGGCATGGACCAACATGGTTCTGACAGTTCTTAATCAGATTCAATCCTTACCAGACCAGATCTTCATCGCCCTTCAACCAGCAGTATTTCCCTGCATCAGTCAATTGACTTGCCATGTGACAGATATTCGGGTTCGTCAGGCTCTGAGAGAATGGCTAGGAAGAGTGGGCAGGGTTTATGACATCATTGTGTAGAAGACTTTAGTTGCCTTATCAAAGAGAGACTGAATCTAACATATTTCAAGAAACAGATATAAAGTGCATTTGTTGAAAACTTGTCTATTTTAAAAAAAAAAAGGTAGAACGATGTACATCTGCCCGTTTGCTAGTCAGTAATAACTAGCAGGCTCTATCCCATGCTGTTAAATCTTAAGAGCATAGTGTGGTCATACTCATGACCCTAGAGAATGTAAAATAGCAGAATATGATAGTAAGAGCCTTTGTATTAAATTTGAAATAGGTATTCAGACATGCTGATATTCAGACAGGCTGACAGGCTCAGTATGTTTGATGCTGCATATTTTCTAAAGAGCAAAAAAAGAATGTCTCTTTCACAAGGTAGCAAAGAAGATTGTGGAGCAAGGAAAATAGCATGGAATGGACACAGTCATAGAATAGACTTCGTCAAGACTGACCATTGAGAATGTAATGATTGTGGAGATGTCTTTAATATAGATTTCTGTTACGTCTTAAATGAGGCATCTGATCCTTAAGTCATCTAAATTTAAAACAATAGTCATGCCAACGAACAGAGGAGCCCATTTATTCTAACCTTTTTAAAAATCTTGGCAATGAAAACTAGGTCTCCAAACTTAGGAAGTGATTATATTTCAGTGTGATTGTAACAGGTTTTCAGACAAAAGTACTTACCATCTTGGAGGTACTGTAGGGGCCATGAATTATTTCATATTGCTATAAGGTGCCTATCCAGAAATTGGTAGACTTGTCCAATGCTCAGTTGAGAAATGAATTTAAGCCTTTTTTCTCATTTTGATGCAGACCCAAAACCAAATATATATTTTCTATGTTCTGTAAATTACTTAGTTTTTTCTGGTTCTATATCTTTGCTCATCTCTTCACTGGATGTTAACAAACACTGTAAAATGTATCCCAGATTTTCTGTTTTCAGGCTTTTCATTTTGTATTGCCTGGCTTCCCTGTCAGGACAAAAGAATCTGAAAATTAGGCATATGAATAGAATATGTAGAGTTATCAAATTTTTGCCCTTACAACAAATCTGTGAAATAGATTATTCTATTTAGTGACCTTTATAGTTTTAAGGCCAAGCAGAAATATAATTCACTCATCATTTTTTTCTTAAGGCAAGCTGGGTGACATCCAGAACTGAATATAACAAAATGTAATAAAAGTTACGCTAATTATGGGACAGATTGAGTCACCACATCTATTTATTTACTATATTCATACAAGATGTATAAATGCTCTCTCTCTCTGTTTTCTTTTTGAGAGTAGAGCATAACTTTTAAGTATTAATTTATAATTTAATAGGCTAGTTACAATTGAGAAAAGAATACACAAGGAAGGGAAAATACACAAGTTTATATAATGTGGCCATTATATAAACTTGTAGAACAGTGTTTCTCAACCTTGACAATTTTAAGGCATGTGGACTTCAACTCCCAGAATTCCACAGCCAGCAATGCTGGCTGTGGAATTCTGGGAGTTGAAGTCCACATGCCTTAAAATTGTCAAGGTTGAGAAACACTGTTGTAGAAGAAAAAAGAAGAAAAATTCAGTATGTAATTTGTGGGAAGCAGAAGTGAAGCAGAAGCTGGCTGGTATGGCTGAGAATTGAAGCAGTACCAGGGTAGAGGTGTCAATTAGGTGTTAAGCCCAGTAAGGGAACTTGAGACAGGCAGCTGTCACCTCATCTTGCCTTCATAATAGCATTTGCACCCTGACAACTTCTCACACTGAAATTGACCATGGTTGTCTTAACTCTGGATCTCCAAACACATAGAATGGTCAGAGGACATGAGGGTGTTTTCTGTCCCTCTAGTTGACCAACAGCAGAATGACTAAAACTCCCTCCACTCAATTCCTCTGTAATGATCATACAGAAACATAAATTCCAAATCCCCCTGAGAAGTTGTTCTGATGGGATCTATGTGAGGTGAGCTTGATTGGAAAAATGCAAATAAAGCACTAATGTCCTCTGATGGTTTCTCGGCCAATTCAAACATCAACCCTTTCATACATTTAGGAACTACTATGAGTTGTACAAGTGAAATCGCTTCTTGTTGCTGACAATTTTTCCACCAGCTATTTTATTCTTTATAGTTGTGACCGATGCTTATCGATCTTATTCTGGCTGGTGTGCAAGAGTGAAGAAAGATAAATTCTAAATATTGGAAACCTTATGGATCAAGATACGATGAGTTCAGGGGCAGGTAGCATGGGAAGGCATGCGATTTTGTCAGTGAGAAAAACCAACGACCCACAAAGACTTGCAGAGACAGTGATTAAGCTGCTTTGGATTCAAAAGCAAGTGGGAAAAGAGCAGGCTGGTCTGGAGCTCATGCCAGGGGAATTCAGGACACTGGTGTGAAAATGCCTATAGGCAGCGTGTGAGGTGTGAATCTCAGCTCCACCAGTAAAGGGGAGCTCACCCTTGAACTGCTGCAAAAACTGAACAAATGGCAGCCATGTTTCACTGCTCCAAAAATAATACGTACTATGTGATCCCACACACTTTCCTTGTGTCTTACATGAATATGATCAAAGCCTGCATCAGCTTTCCCTCTCTTTGTTAAGTCATTGTTGGAATATGCTCAGATGAGAGCAGTTGCTCTTGTATCTGTTAGAGGGCACTAGCAAAATACTCTGCCTGCTCGCTGGGATACAGTTGGGATCAAACTTATGAGCAGTGCTATGCATTGCTTGTTGTGCTAGCCTTCATTTCCAACCATGGTCATTGAACTGATTGAGTGAAGAGCCTTAATCAGCCTGCTATATGATGCCTTGTAGCTTGCTTGAACAGTAAACGGTCCTGTTTCCTTTGCTTCCCCATTTTCTCATTCAGTTAACAGAAGACTTTGAATGTACACGTTGTGTCAGCTGCTGCTGAACTCTAGTGATTGTTTATTATGAATTATGGAATTCTTTGTCAGTGCTATGCCCTGAGATGATTGTTTGATTCTTCTGTTTGTTTGTTCTTACAAGGTTTAAATAATGCTGTGTTTCTCTGGTTCTTTGTGAAGAGGGAATTGTTTTAGGGCAGGGGTAGGCAACCCAAAACACTTAAAGAGCCACTTGGACCCGTTTCCCACCAAAAACAAAACACTGGGAGCCGCAAAACCATTTTGATATCTAAAATGAAGATAACACTGCATATATCCTTTTTTACCTTTATTATAGGTGTGTGTGTGTGTTTGTGTGTGTGTGTTTGTGTGTGTGTGTGTATGTGTGTATATATATGTATATGTATATGTATGTATGTATATATATATATACATACACACACACACACACAGAGATAAAAAAGGATATATGCAGTGTTATCTTCATTTTAGATGTCAAAAGGGTCTCTCTCTCCCTCCCTCTCTATCTGCCCTTGATCTGCCACTCCTCTTCCCCCGCTCTCTTTCTTTCTCTCTCTCTCTTTCCTCTCTCTCTCTCTCTCTCTCTCTTTCTCTCTCTCTCTCTTTCTCCCCCCCTCTCCTATCTGCTGCTCACCTGACAAGCTTCAGGCTGTTGTCCAACAAGATCAGGGGTAAGCAACCTCGTCTCTTTTATGACTCATGGACTTCAACTCCCAGAATTCCTGAGTCAGCCTAGCTGGGCTAGCTAGCTCTCTCCTGCCCTTCCTGCTTCCTGCTTCCTGCAGAGATGCAGCAAAGGGAAGAGCTCAGCCCAGTAAGCTTTTCAGCTCCTCGGAGAACACTGTGAGTGCACTCTCTTTTTTATATATATATATATACACACACACACACACACACACACACACACACACACACACACACACACACACACACACACACACACACACACAAAACACAGAGAGAGAGAGAGAGAAGCAGGGAAGCGCAATTCCTCTCTCTGTCTCTGTCTCTCTCTCTGCAAAGGCAGAGGAGGCTGGGAGCCGCATGGGAAGGCTCAAAGAGCCGCATGCGGCTCCGGAGCCGCAGGTTGCCGACCTGTGTTTTGGGGGACATTTTCACACGGTGTACACCTACACTGTTTGCTAGTGAGATCTTATGCGCATATTCTAGCTTGCCCCTTTGAAGCATCTGTTGAACATGGTAACTTGAACAGAGAGAGAATCACCTTACTCAAGATTTTTTTCATCTGTTCTCCTGAAAAAAAAAAAAATGTTCGGATTTCAAGTGTAGCTTTTCAGTTCTGTGCTGTTGCGTATAGGTTACTTGTATATTGTGTGCATGGAATAACAAAGTGCTGTGTAACAAACTTGTAGGGCCACTATTACACAAAGCAGGCAACAGTGAATTATTATTTATTTTCGAAGAAGGGAAGTATTTCACATTCCTGCCACTACCAAGAACGACTATTGATTGTAAAAACATCCCAATTGCTGCTTTCACCACAAGGGCAAGCGGTAGATACACAACAGTTCCTGCTGAAGATCGTCATATTATTTATTTATTTATTCAGTCATTCATTCAAGGTGATTGAAAGTATTATGTAACTCTTGAGATGTAAGTTGGCTGCAAGGTCAGCCAAACTTAAAGAAAAAACATTCTCTGGATAGAAAGAGGAGGAAGTGCCTCATTCTGAGGATATGGTAGATAATGTCAAGGGAGGAACTAGAAAATTAGTTTAATATTTAATTGAAAATCACTTGAGCGGAGGAAGGAGGAATTTTATTTTTCGTCTTTTCCAACTTCTATAAACTTATCATGGAAATGTCATAAAAGTGGGAGACACGTTTGCCTGTGATGCTTTTGGCCTTGCAAGCAAGCCATGGGTGCACATCGATGGAGAGAGCCATTAGATTTTGTGTGCGCCAATCTATCTGCCCTTTCCATCTTCTAAGCTCTTGTGAGGCCAGAGCTCATGTTTGCATTTTGATCCGCAAGGCCCTCCAGGGCCATGGAATTGGACTTCTCCCATAGTGCCTGCAAAATCAGGCAGTCGTATACTCAGTGACTTGGTCTCCATCCATCCCAGAAGGAGAAACGGGCAGGGGGAAAGGACGTTCTTCAGGGCAGAAACTTGCACCCTATTTCACTATGCAAAGTTTGGGTTGTGATTATGGGATCTAAGATGGAATTTGCACATTAAAGGAATCAGAGGGCAGTCATAGAATGTAGTTGCTCTGCATCAGTTTTATTTGTTTATGTCCATTTTGCAAAAGCAGTTTAGGGTGGATCCTGATATCCATATTCTAAATATTCTCCTCCTAGCAGCTGCCCATGATTTGGAGGCAGAAGCAGAAAAACAAATACTGACAGCAGTGACAGAAAGTGTAGGAGTTAGAACTTTCACACAATGCTGTTATGTATATGCAGAGTTGTTGTCTGTCATGGCAGCTGGCGAGTTTGTTTTGTACCATAACATTCTGAACAAAAAAAAAAAGGTGCTCTGCCTTAACTAAAGGGAAAGTTGCTCTACCAAAATGAAAGACGAACTTCAATCTTCAAGCAATTAATTTACTAACCAGGTTCTGCAATTATTACTTTTCCCAGACAGACCCTATGCCAAACAGTGAAGTGCAACCCCCAAAGGAGCATCTTCTCTCTTATACCAAAGATCCTATTTGTTTTTTTAAAAAAAAAAATTAAATAGTGATGCTTGCCACAATTGGGCTTGTATCACTAGGTAGACATGAAAAGACAGGAATCCAAACTATTCTCCAGGGGGAAAGATATTTGGGGACTCTTTCCAGCCAACCTTTACTCTTGGATATGCCTAGTTTTTGGCCAAGATATGCAATTCTCTAAGCACTTCAAGACTCAGAAGAAGGTTAGGTGTAAAGAACTATGACGCCAGGATGTACTGAGACCCTGGATGGGTCCTTACAGTTTGTTGTCTTTGCATTTGTTTTATGGTGGCCAATGAAAGCCTATAAGGAATATCTGTTGACAAAATGTCTGGATCCTGCCATAGCTTTCCTTGCACTCTTAACAATAACTCTCCTAGACCCTCTTCTTTTGGTATATGTTGGGAGGGGAGAGGGAGGGACATAACCTGAACCATTTTTCTTGTGTGTGTGTTTAAGAACAGTTCATTGCAAGTCACTTTGCAAAATGTATTTTGTGTATATTTTGTTCAAAGGGAATTCTTAAAGGAAGATATTTTACAACGAATCATAATTATTTGTGTTGCTTGTGTTATAGAATAAAGAAACTACAAAAAAGTAAAGCAAGTGTGGAACTTTTATTTATTTAAATAAAATAAATAATTTTATTTGGGAAGTTCAATAGGTCAGAACAAAAAATGCTACTGAATAAGATAATTAGTTACATCCCCTTAATTTTGTAATCATTTTTTTTTTGTCCTAAGACAAGTGATTTGAATACCACAGTTGTCATCCTGAAAATATGATCATGCCAAATCTAAATGCTAACAGGAATTTGCTGGCAAGCAATTTTTCTGTTATTTTCCTTAATTCGTCTTTAAAGACTGTGTGAACATTTCAAGTGTAATTGTTCCAACGCACTAACAAGCTATTTTATTTTCATTAATGACCCTGTCTGACAGACTCCATGTATGAACCTAGCCCTCTTAATCCGTTTAAAGTCTTAGATTTTTCCAGTATTGCAACAATTGAGCTGATAGGAAATAGTTAGATCCCTTTCAGGAAAAAAAAAAAAACTGGGCCAAATAATCTTTTCATCCCTGTTCCTTCTGACACTTGGTTGCGAATTCTTAGAGGATCTGACTTGGGAGAGAAAGAAAGCCTGTCTTTGTGCTGTGTCTTGCCTGCAGGTGGTAGACCCTAAAACAGATTGTGGCCTATTCAGAGAAGCAGCAGTACTGGCAGTTGTCAATTGCATAGCAGCTATTTTGACAACTCTTCTGTATTCATCAGGGGCTGCACAGCAGACAATTTTACTTTCTCTGTTTGGCCCTGGAGTGGTACAGAAATCGCTATGTGTTGAACAAGCCTAGAGGATATTACTATAGGACAGGGGTGTCAAACTGCCGGCCCACGGGCTAGTTGCATCATGCGGAGGCCGTGTCCACCCCAGCTCCGGCAATGAGAAAAAAGTTGCAATACGTCGCGACACGTCACGTGACACGGTGAGTTTGACACCCGTGCTCTAGGACATCCTTTTTCCTATTGTCTGCATTGCTCTGGTGACTTTAGTTGGGCTTATACTATACTCTTCTAATCGCTGGATAATAAACTTGACAGTTCAACCCAAGGAAACAAATTAGACAATAAAGTGTCCATTATACTTATTAGGTATTATCAGATGATTTCTGGCACAATGAGCTGAACCTATTGATTACAAGTAATGAAAACTGTCATCTAGTCAATTCCTGTGATTGAACTGTAGTGGTGCAATCCTGAGGTGCAAGGAATGGCTGCACATAGGCATGGTGGTCTATTCGTGCATTACAGGCTGGAACTAGAGAGGAAAGATTTAAATTGTCTCTCCTTTATTGCTATGATCCTATTATAGTGATTGATATTTGCATTTTGATCATTGTTCTTTGCTGCGGTAAAGAATTCCAGACACTCTGACAAAAGTCATGGCTAAGGCCTGGAAGCACAAAATATGCTACCAAGTGCCACAATTATAGCACCCAACTCCTCAATGTCATTCGGATGCTGTCCACTTGCCCGGAGGGAATTTAATTAATATTCTACAATCCACTGTAGTCCTTTCTAGTTTGGTCCGAAAGCTATTCTCTTCCAATTCATTTTGGAATTATAAAGGAAATTAAGTGGGCAGACGTGGAGATTTCTAGAAACAGATTTGGAGTTTACCAATGTTATATGAATAATAACTGTTGATAGAAGAAAATATTTGTAGCCCTGGAGGATCCTTGGTCCAAATCCTTTTTGTAAATCCAAAATAGAAACGCTATTTAAGAGACTCCTCTGGTCTAATATTTGTATGTCCTTTTTAACTATTAACTTTGTAGGGGAGATGGACAATGTAAAAATTTAATACAAAAATAAAGTTAAAAGCTCAGCTGTTAAGTTAAATGTTTCACCTTGCTCAATATCCTTCTTGTAGTCAATCATATTTAAGTTGAGATTTAAGTCAATTTCATTTTTGTCCAATAAAATTTGTTCTTCTTCCATAGCATCATCTATTTAACCAATAATGCTAGAAAATTTCTGAGTTATTTGTTCACACAAGACATCCATTGTTCAATCTTATTTT